CACATACACAGTCCTCCTCCGCCTGTGTGTTTGGAAAAAAATTACTCCTTCTCTCAGTGTCAGAGCGAAGAACAAGCAACACATCTGCATAGGCTTTTGTATATTTTTGTATACTGGTACATTTGTATGTGGGTGTGGTGTTTGTAAATGTGAGAGTGACACAAATGGTAAAGAACAGCGAGTTGGAGGGAGAGGTATTAGACGAGGGTTAATGCAGTGAGCGGGCAGCGGGCCCAGCCCTCTGAAGAATAACATTATCTAACCCAAAACAACGGGGGAGCGGGGAGCTGGCCGACACAACTGGGCCCAGCTGTGCAGCCAGGGACGACAGCCAAACCAGAGCTTGTTGAGGCCAGAGAGCAGACATCCAGCCAGTGGATGGCCGGTGACTGCTAGATCGGACCAGATAGGGTTGTATTAAACTTACAGTAAGGAAAAGAAATATTTTTTTGCTTCATATAATTGACACGAGTTGTGGTTCACATAGAGACATTATTTTGTTTTCCTGCGCTTTAAAACAAGAATGTGGAAGACGCAATAAAAGAGGTCAGTTTGTGGCTTTTTAAAGTCAGAGAATACAATCAGGGCTGCTACTTAAATTATATTGATATAGTCTAAGAGCCTGTTTATACCTGGTATTAACATGAGTTTCAGTGATCCAAAAAAATGATGGACAGTTCCAACACTCAGTTCAACTTGTTGTAAAGTGGGCAACTTACAGAGTGTTAGTGCTCCCTCATCAAAACAACTACCACATCCTGCATCATGGATGGGTATATCTTGTATGCCCTTGTCGGGGATGCATCAGGACATATTAGCGTTTACACTGAAAAAGATATGTGGACGAATTTGTCCCACATCACCTTGGCAGGTGGATCTTAACCCCCAATTTCCACATACTCCGTTGCCGCGCCACGCACTGCGTAGCATATACCCTCCCATTCTAGTGAATAGCTTCATTTCCACAGCGTGCACCACACAGTGTCTCTGGAGTGTCCCAGAAACGCCACAGCGTTTCGCTTTGTCGGAGATACGCGCCAGGTCTATTTTTCAGCGACTGCGCACCCATAGCACATCAAGCCACATAGCTCAGATCGCACCAAACCAGAAACGGAACGCACACAGCATCCGGTAAATTTCAAAATAAAACACAATGCACGGACTACGGATTGTAAACACTCAATTTTTAAAAAATAAATGGAGTAAATGGTGCTTATTATCACGTGATTTCGCAGTTCCCACGTGTGAGCTTGTGGCTCCGCTATGCAGCACGGCGCTCCAGAAAGTACGCGCTGTTGGTCGCTCCAGATCTGTGGTGCTGCGCAGACGGAGTATGTGGACATTGGGAGTCATGAATCTTGGTGGTTTGCATTTCTTTCTTCAGCATTTCTTTCTTCAGCAATGTCCACTTGTTGTCTGATCACCCTCGACACATGTTAATACCAGGTGTAAACAGGCTCTTAGATTTTGGATATCGTAACATCATATGCGTGGTTCTAGCTGTTCCATTGTTTGCCATTACCCACTTCGTCTTCATATCCACATTACTGATGATTATTTATCAAAAATCTTACTGCATGAATGTTTTGTGAACGCACCAATATTCAATCCTACAATATTGTCACGATATCAACATCAAGGTATTTGGTCAAAAATAATGTGATATATGATTTTCTCCATATTGCTCAGCCCTTTTTACAATTAACAACTTTAGTAAGGGACAGTTTTAAGGTGCTAAATTAAGCTTAAAGTGTTTTCACACTTGCTTTGACTTATGTTGGTCATTTAGATGCCAAATGATAAAGACTTTGTCACATAAAACTAAAGGAGGTGTGTAATAAAATAAAAAGTTAATTTATTTGGTTTACTACACTGGCATTTTACGTAATGCCACACTGAATGGCATTGATGTGGTTAACTTCACTTATGTGTCATCTACTGCAGTTTAGGGAAAATAACCTAATTATTTAAACCTACTTTTAAGCGAAGTTCTGCTACAAGCCTGCACCTGCTTACTAGAGTGTAAAATGATGTAATGGCATGTAAATGTAGTGCCTTGTCCAATGGTGAAACATTTGCCCCAAGTACCACCCAAGAGTAGCTGAGGTTACTCAACACTCATTCTGTGTTTTTGAACAGACAAAGTCATTTTGAGGCAGGCTGATGTATTTCATTAATCCACACAGTAGTTTATGCTCTGGTAAGACAGTTTGGAGCATTAAAAATATCCAAAGCTTTAGATTTCCACATTTAATCCCGCTCATCCAGCTGCGTGGCATGGAAACTTCCAGAAATCCAATTTGTGCAACAGAGTTGGAGCTCGGTGAGATTGGCTCGGGATTGGGAATTTGCAGAGTACACGGAGAGTGGAGGAGGAGGGAAGAGGTAGAGCGAGCATTTGTTAACATCTGTACCTTCACCTCGGGTCAGTCCTGTCCTACATTGTGTCAGAGGTGCTGCACATAAATGCATCAGTGCAGTCATGCTCTGTAAAGGGGCTGCAAGTTATTTCTATAGGTGAAGCTATTGTCATGTAATCAGCTACCAGGTCGTCCAGTAAGAGCATGAATGGAAATACAGTGTTGTCTTTAACAATTCTACTCGGTTCCTCACTATGATGAGTCATTTTATGCGCTGCACTGCCTTCTACTGGATCAAAAACAAGCCTGCAACTGAAAAACATCTCCGTCAAACTTTGAGTGTATTCAGTAATTCACAGTGAATGAACAGGGTAGGAATACAGTGGCACTTCAGAAGGGGTACATTGGCTACCTGTGATCTTTTATTTTGTAGAAATGTCTTTCAAGCAAAGGTTGTGCTGATGATTACAGTGTTTTTATAAGGTGTAAAAGGGCCAGAGTGTCAGTTTAAACTCACTTTGATGATGTTGTTGCTCTTACATGCTTTTGGAAAGTTGAAATCTGAATCAAAACACGGGATGTCACAAATTTAAATAGTTTGCAGTAACTTTTTCTGCCACAGGAGGGAGGCAGCAGCGTGCATTAGCAAATGCATTGTACATCTTTTCATGCCATTATCACAAAGGGACATCTAAGGTGATCTGCTTACATTACACCAGCTCATACTTTAAACATTGTCAAGTTTAGGAACCCAAAAATATCTAAATGCAAGCTGGCCATAGTCAGGATTTTAAGGGAAGGGGTTACAGGTTTGGATTCCTGAACCAAGTTGAGCAATCTCATGATTAGCTCCTCATCTTTGAAGTTACTCCTCAGCAACACTTTGAACCCACATCTGCTGCAGTCCAGCTGTTCAGGGCTCCACATAGGACTGGGTCATAAATGCACATACCTGCTGCCGCTGTGTAAATGTTGAGGCAGGGCGTTCATGAAAAGAGCATGCATACTCAGTCAGCATTCCCTGAGGAAAGAACAGTGGGATGCTCTGATGTTGCACTTCCTCAAAGCCTGTGGCCTCTAAGAGGCAGCTGAGGCCAACTGAGATTGAGGCTTACGGCTCAGGGAAAGACGATTTGGCTGTTTTTAATCAGACACACAAACAGTCCCTCCCTGTTTATTGCATGCACATAACTGCTATAAATAGATGTGAATCTTAAAGAAGTTAGTTGTGATTTTTTTTTAGTCTTGATTAGCTGGATTCCATCAGCTAGTTTGCCAAATGCACATCACACGACATGCCATGCTGTTCCTTCCCCTGTCATATGAGACCAAACTCCCCTGTGGTCTGTTTGCTTGTAGCCTTGTCAGCACACTCTGACCTCTCCTCACTGTCCTGTTCTGCAGCTCAGGACACATCTGACAGCAGAGTAGATTCAGTGGGTGGGACAGTGATGTTTGGGATGTTAAGGAATACTTTGAGAAGAGGAAGAATTAGTTCCCCTGTTTGCTGTTTCATAAAACCCTGAAACTTATTTGTCTTAAATTACCAATTTCACTGAGAAAGAGCTCGTGTGTTTTGATTTAGAAATCTGAAAGTAGTTTTGATCAGAATTGAGAATAAGGCGATCTGCAGGGCTGTTAAATGTATCAATAAATCCCCCACACACTTTTTTACTATTATTACTATTTTTTACATATTTAAATTGCATTGTTGGAGGGAGTCTGTGTTTTTCAGTGCCAACAACTGCTGTATAATTGATGTTCATTTGACAATAACCCTGAAAATTGTGTAGCAAAAGCCAGTTAAGATGATTGAGAAGCTGTTCCCCTAATCCTCAGACTGTAGACATATTTTTATTTACTCAAAGAACAAATAAGTCTTGTGTCACATAAATAAAGGTTCTCCACATTTTGTCAGACAGGCATAATTCTGCATTCAGATATCTACTTCTTAATATTGACAACTCAGCTGTTGTCTTTCTATACAGAATGTCAAAAGAGCTTCACATTTTGCCCTCAAGTTGCATCTTTTGGAGAAACAATACTTGCACTGTTCCAACATAACTACTCAATTCATGCTTTTATAAGTGCCTCTAGCAGTCATTTTTTGTTAGCGATTAATCTGCTGACGATTTACTGAATGAATCGGATAATATTTTGGTCTAAAATGCCAGCACAATGTCTTTGAATGTTTTTCTGTGTGACCTACAGTCCAAAACCCCAAAAATGTCTTATTTATAATGACATAAGACAAAGAAAAGTTAAAAAACCTCACCGCTGAGGAGCTGTAAAGTAGTGTTTGTCATTTTTGTTTTCAAAAGAAATTAAACTAATAGTTAAGATTAATTTTCTGTTGATTAATTGAATAATTGTTTCAGCTTTACTGACAACTCAGCCATTTCCTTTAGATTAATTTTACTCTGAAGTTACCTGCTTACTTGACTTTACAACCAAGACATCCTTCAAGTTTGTATCATTTGAGTGAGTGAGAAAATGTGGAGAAACATGTGCACTGCTGTCACTCTTTCTGCAGTTAAATTTCCAGTTCTAGTGCAACATGGCCTAGTTCTGATTGTACTGCTGCTTCTCTTCCTCACTATGTGACCAATCGCCTCGCTGCATGTGCTCTCTTGTTGCCAGGGAGACAGCGGAACCGTCTGGAGCCAATGGACACCATTTTCGTCAAGCAAGTGAAGGAGGGAGGCCCCGCCCACGGAGCTGGACTCTGTACAGGTACACACACACATGTAACTCACACACACAGTCTCTATGGAGATCGCCACACTGCTTCTGATAACCGGCTGATCTTATGATTAACTCTGCCTGTCTCACATCTGACCTCAAAGCGCCGTTTGATGCCAAGATTTCTTCACGTTTGTACTGTAGGTAATTCCACCTCCTTGTAACCTGCCAGGGAAAACAGATACAAGTTACAAAATAACAGATGGCTCCTTCGTGGGAGGTTGAACAAAGTGTAATATGCACACTGTTATTCCAACCTTCCCCTGATTCTGTTTTTTTTTTTTTCTACGACTTTGTTTTCTCTCTTATTGATTTGTGAATCACTTCTAATTTTAAGCAGCAGGGATAAAAATACTTACACTACCCCCCCTCGAGTGAAAAAGTGAATCAGCTCCTTCCAGTTTCTAGTGAAATGGAGGTGATAGCTGAAGCTCTGTCAGCGTTACTGCCAGATTAGCACTCTGTATTACAGGAAATGTTAAGTGGGCTGGACAAGCCCTCTAAACTGTCTGCTTTTATCTGTTTGCTCTCCTCTCCTGGGATAAGGGAGTGCAGTGTTTTCCCACAATTATCCAGTTGCTCTCCTAAACTCACCTTGCCTCACTTCCTGTAAGATGGCCATCTTCAGAAAACTTGAATGGGGATGAATCCTTCGCATGGGGGGGGCCTTCAAATAAACACATATTGGTATTCTCCTTTTGATCTAAACACAGATGTGTGTTTGTGCTGGAAGCAGCAACTCCAGAGTGGTTTCTGTGGTCAATAACCATATTGACTGGATTCCAGATCTTTTTTTTTTTTTTTTTTGGCTGAGCAGCTGGGTGAAGAAGTAAAGACATGTAGAGTAAGGATGGGCCAATCTGGATTTTTGGGGTCGATCATGAATTGATGGAAGCAGTTTTAGCCATTAACAGGTCTATTTGAAGTCTTTTATTTATTGTGAAGCATTATTTATTTAACTATTCTTAACAACAATGTATATTAGGTATTACAATTATGGCGTATTCCACATGGACACGGATGTGTTTTGAAAATGGGGTTTTTACCTCCTTCGTTCCAAAAATCGCCATCCAAATGAAAACACAGACACAATTCAGGTGCTGTCAAGAGCAGCCAAACCAACAGGCGGCGATATAACATAAACCCTAAAGCCACATAAAGAAAAAGAAAAAGATGCAGATATTGACCGATCAGCACCCTGATAAAAACTGTGACCTCATTCTGACGGCCAACTGTTCGTCAGTATAGTGGAAGTTACTATACATACATGTGTAAACACGTAAAATGTCCTATTAGCAACCTTAGCGCAAGCACTAGTTTTGACACATCCACCATTGCACGAAATTTTGCCTCATTTGTGATGCCACATAAAGGAGATAACAGCACACTCACAAGCCTAAAAGTCAGTTCCCCCTGTCTACACATCAACACTGAAAACAGAGTTCATGAAAATCTTCATTCTGGACAAAAGGTCTGTTTTCAGTTATCAACGAAAGGCCAAAAAACATAGAAAAAGCTACGTTTTAAATATAACTGTGTATGTGTCAACTAAGCCTAAGAGATGAGACCATGTCATAAACTGAGAACTTTATTTATTGGCAAACAACATGCACAACATTTTCCACTTTTTGGTTGCATTCCTCCCATAGTAATGTAAAAATAATGGACGTAGCTACTGTGATGTCACCCCCTGGTTTGTGGACTCCTGTTTTGAAGCCCCGAGCTTGGTATTATGGTCGTTGCCATCTTGGGTTTTTGGAACCAGAAGTGGTGGTATTTGGATGAGAGGCTGGCGTTGTAGAGGAGCGAGGGGTGGATCTGACTGAGAAGCCAAGGACAGTATCGGCAGACAGCCTGCCATTCAAAGCAACCCGCACTTAATTATGCGAAACTTTAAGCCTAGATAAAATGTTAAAATGTGGGTTATATGAAAAAAAAATATCATCCCCTGTACAGGGAGAAATTAGCTTTAGAGACCAAAACCGTTTTTTGTTCCAGGCTGTAAACACATTTATTTCTGCTGTAAAGTTGGGGATTTTATCACAAGGGTCTATGAAGATTGACTGGCTTCCTGAGCCAGCCTCTAGTGGACATTCAAAGAACTGCAGTTTTTGGCACTTACATTTTGGCTTCATTTTTCAGCCCAGGAGGTTGCTGCTTTGTTCCTTCACGATGGATTTCAGTGGAACACACCTTGCAAATTTATTGTCTTTTTAGACACCTGGGGTGCGTTCAGCCCTGCCAAAACGTAGCAACTCTTGTTTAAACGTGAAAGATGGAGTGATGAACACCCTGTTGTGTTCAACCCAGAAACTGAAGCAAAACAGTGCACACCATTTTCTACCTCTGGTAGAGCTGCTGGAGCAGTGAAGCCATTGTAGATGCTCACAGAGATATTGTCTGGCATGTTTTGTGTCATCTGATCAGCTTCATAGAGATCACTATCAAACTGTTAAGAACAAATGTTGGCTGATAACGATTGTTGGCTGATCGATCAGAGCACCCTCAGTGCAGAGCTCATTTGTCATGTTCCTGTTAGCAGTAAACAGCAGGTTTGTGATGCATTACTCTAATTCTATCCAGGGGACCGGATAGTGAAGGTGAATGGAGAGAGCATCATTGGGAAGACCTACTCGCAAGTCATAGCCTTGATCCAGAACAGGTAAGAATGCTGTCATATAATTTTATGGTTTATATACACAGAGTGAAAGAGCCTGACTGACTCAGACCACTGCCAACACTCCCCTGCATGTTTGTGGACTAACACAGAAAATGAGACGGAGCCGTTGTGAAACTTCCCAGAAAAAAAAAACACATTCACTTTTCCAGAGAGAATTACGTCCTTATCACAGACAAGCACGCTTATAACATTAACACTTCATTAAACTGCAGCTATTAAAGTTTAGATTTTACAAGTTGAACTTATCCTTTTGAGAAGTGCCATGACTTTCCACAGTCTGTGCCCCGTGGTATAACAGTTTCTCTCTCCTTTTCTCTCACTTTCACTCCCATTCTCTCTCGTCCTGCACACTCTTGCCTCCATCAGCGATGCCTCACTGGAACTCTGTGTGATGCCAAAGGATGAGGACATTTTGCAGCTGGTAAGCATTTATTCATCAGTAAATATTGCAAGTGTGCTTGAAAATGCTTCTTTTTTGTTTACACAACAGAAAACCATGAATAAAAGATTTGTGATTGTGAGGAGTTTTAACACCAGACCAGTGCTCTGTGGTTTTATTTATTTAACTGTTTATTTGTGAAGTTTAGTCTAATTGCAATTAAAATGCAGTTTTATCTGGTGATGAAGGGCGTATCTTGGCTTTATATTGTTTGTTTAACCTGTATGTGCACAGAAATTTAAAAATGGGGTGGATGTAGTGTAACTAATTCTCTGTGGAAAATCAATTTGTCCATCCACCCAGTACTTCCATTATAGGGCATGTTGTCAGATACGGTCAGTGAACGCAGGTTTTTGTCCCGTGCAGGATTAGTGCAACCTGGCAACCCATCACTCCATGCAGCTGTTATCACCAAGAAATAGTTCCTGCATGAGCTGTGTTAGCCGATTTCCCCATGTTTTCATGCTTTATGCTAAGCTAGCTAAACAATTCCTGACTCCAGTTTTGTTTGTGATGCACAGAGAGATTGATTTTTATCTTAGTCCTCAAAACCGTAAATCTAGTCCGTCAAGCAAAGCCCAGAAATCTTTGTATGAAGCAATACTCAACTCTGACATGGGCTAACAATTATTTTCATCATTGATTTATCGTCTGAGGTTTTCTTGATAAAAGGCTTCTCTGTAAAATGGCAGAAATTTGGGAGAATTGTCTAGGCCAGTTCTCAGAGTCCAAGTCGATGTATTTAAATGTGTTAATTTGTCAATTTAAAACCCAAAGATATTCAGTTTAATATGGTGTAAAACAGAGAAACGCAGAAAAAGTAGCAGTTAATTGATTATCAAAATAGATGGCAATTATTTTTCTGTCAATTGACTAATCGAAGTCGACTTATCGTTGCAGCTTTACTTCTGATTTATGTCAGATTGATGTCTGACTCCATCAAAGAAAATTAAGACAAAGTGTTGACAAGCCACCCACGCCACAGCAGATAAACTTCTAATGGTTACAAGCCTAAGTGAACCATAAACATTTTATTGGACTCAGATTACCAGACAGAGTGGGCGAATATTTAATCATAAAGATTTCAAACATGCCCAAAATACAGCCAAATATTTAGAGAGTCACGGGGTTGGTCCATGCAGGAATGTGGATAATGATCAAATCCTGTGGGGACACAAGGTGTGTCTTTCTGACTACCTGCTCATCCTGTCATTGAACTTGATCTTCAAGAATAACACTGCCTGACTCATGTCAGGTTGATATGGATAAATGTGTGGATCAGTTTCCATAAATGTGAGCGTACATTTTCATTGAGAAAAGGCTAATGACAAAAGGAGCAGATCGAGACTTCATGCCACAGCTCCACAGCCCCTCTGCTTCTAACGCTGATGAGCTCAGTAGTGCAAACAGCTAGCCCACGCCATCAGTCAGGGTCCAGAGCCCCACAGACGATAAAACAGCGCCAGGCCACGTCAAACCAGTTGCCACACGTTTTTCACCTCCGTTTGGGAAATTCTCTCTGGGAGCGGAGGACTGAGTCAGATCCCACTGTGTTGCTAAATTCCACACATAGCTTGTTAGCTTGGCCGCAGCTCACCAAAAGCCACAGAAACTTGCTTTTGGCGTTTTGGAATGAGTCTGAGCACTCACAAGGCTGAGGGATCCGAATGGAGCAATTAGCTTCTTTCTCCCCATTGAGGAAAACAAATATTAAACTCAGTGTTTGATGTGTCAGCTAGGGATTGTTTTTTACTTTCCCGACACAAGACGTGATTTAAATGTTTCTGTTTGTATGCTATTGAGTTCCCTGTGGACATCACAATGAAGTCATTCCTTTAAATTGTCTGTATACACACTTTGTCTTTTGTCCTGAAAGCTGCTTCATGTGACCTTTTTATCCTGTTTTTACAAGGGGGGAAAAAACTACTTTGGAATGAATGAAGTATGCACATGGTGGTTCCTGTAGATGTATTTGTGTCTGTGTTTTTAAATGTGTTCATGTTTTTCTGTTTTGTGTTTTGGGAGACATTGAGCCCACTCACTACCAGGGGGAGTGCAGCTGCAGTCAGCTGACTCCTCTCAGCTACAGGAGTGAGTGAGGGAAGGAAGCCAGCACAGATCAGGCAAGCGTGCTGTTATGCTTACCCAAAAGTGAACATGTTATAGATAGAGCAGCGTCTTACAGATGAGCGAGAGGATGAAAGAGGGCGCGTAGAGAGTGTGTGTAGTGCAGGAGCCACTGAGAAACCAGAGAGGGGGAGGGGAGGTACGACAGTGAGCAGGTGAGAGTGACAGAGCAAAGGAAAGAAATGCTGAGTACGTTGAGAGTGAGGAGGCTAGCAGAAAACATTTGTCAGTGTGTTTTAGCAGCAGCTTTGTTGTGGTTGGAGGAAGATGTGGGATGAGAGGAGGAAATAATGGGGATGAAGAACAACTCAGAAGATGTTCAGGTCTGAGAAGGACATCAACACCTCCATTCTCCGTCTTTCTTCCTTCCACTACCTCCGATTATGATGCTGCTGCTCAGGGAATGTATTTTTAGCCTGTCTCACCTCCATCGATGGCGTTGTAACTCTCATTTCTTCATGCTCACCTGTATACTTCTCTTTATTCCCCTTGTTTTCTCTCTGCTTGCCTTTCTCTAACCTGTGGACTGCAGTTTTCCAGGGATATCACTGCACTGGTAAGAAGGGAAACCATACTAACTAATCACTTTCTTTTTAAAGGGACGGTTCAGCCCAAAATCAAAATTACATATATCTTGCCTGTAGTGCTGATTATCAATCTAGATTGTTTCATTTAGCGTGAGTTGCCGAGTGTTGATATTGCCCATAGAGATGTCTGCCTTCTCTCCAATACAATGGAGCTAGATGGCACTCTTTCCAGACTCTGGTTACTCAAGATAATCCACAGACCTTGTTGTGAACAGTTTCATGTAGGAACTATTTTCTTTCTACCAAACTACACCCACCAACCGCATTACAGTGCAGAAGAAATCGTGTATCTAGTGCTGGTTCACCCAGTAGCCCTGAGCTAGCTAACATTACAGCTCAGCCAAGATATCATACATGTTTATATCATACGCTGTGGTGAGCAAGAGCCTCTTGTCTATGAGCTGATGCATGTTTCTCAGCTGGCCACCAACCATGTTAGATGTGATGTTTGGTTGCGTTTAGGTTGTGGCAAAAGGTGAAAGAAATTCACTGTCAGGACAATGACTAATGCTGTCTATGTCAGTTTGACAGAATACGAAGGATAGATGATATTTGGTGATTTTTTTGTTGGTTTTAAGTTGTGTTGTTGAGTGGCCAAAATCTAAAGTCACCTTGATATAGAGTAACAACATCAAAATAACGCAAGGTATGGAGAACAAAACCCAACGTTTGCAAAACGTCATGTTCACATTCACACAACATGAAATTCTAGGATCGTTAGACTTTAAAAACATTGTCAAACCAATTCATTCCAATGATATCACAGTGACGTCTGGTGCCAGCTGGGTTCTGTCTGTTTAGTGATATGGTTGACGGGTGTAGTTCAGTAGAAAGAAAATAGTTTTGCACATTATCATTCGTAACCAGGTCATGATTTCTGGAAAGAAACATTGCTGTCGAGTTCTTCAAATGTATTTTTTGGTACTTTGAGCACCACAAGCCGAGTGCCATCTAGTAGGAGATACAACAAACATCTCTATGGCCGATATCTCCAACACTCTGCAACTCACACCAAAACTAGACTGATAAATAGCATTACAGGTAAGAGGGAAAAAAATATTTTTGATTTTGGGATGAACTGTCCCTTTAAGTTGTCTTTCCAGATGATTCATAGCTCCTATGACATGTGGCACCACCTTTAGAGCTCATATTTGCACAAGTAGAAGCTGGCAAACCCCTAAAACCCCAAATATGCTTCCCTTCTTTGCAGGATATATATTGTGGTTTAGTACAGGTTAAGTTTTGGGAATTTTCCTGGAATAGCAAGTTGAGAGAAAGATGTGTGTACCGAAAAAACAAATGATGTGAGTTCAAATGTCAGCAGACCTCAGACACTTTGCTCTGTACTTTCCACAACAAGGAAATTGGTTTCTGATAAACCATATGACTTATGCAAATCTAGAGGGAGGCACCTCTCTGCTGCTGCTGTTCGTAGTGCAATTGTAACCTGACACCCTAGGTAGAGTGCTATCGATTAAAGTCCAACACCACAACTCTCTCCCTTTCATTTTCTCAAGAGCTCGTGCACTGAATGGATGGGGGAATAAAGCGTGTTCAATATGCTGCCAGGCGTTTTCTCTGAAGCCATCTGTCATTCACTGGAGAGAGTAAAGGACTAAAGCTAGCAGGATTTTAGTGTTTTTCTTCAAGTTTTAATCAAGGAAAGTACCCTAGTAGCTACAGTGACAGTACAGTTGTGGAGCCATGCTGACAGAAGTAGCGTTAGCTGCCAGAGGCAGACAGAGGCATCCCCCGTTCACCCTCTCCTCATGCCTCAGGGCACACTCTCCGGTTCGAAAGGTGGGTAAGCCCCTGCCAGCTTTATCCTCTCTCCTGGCTCCATTTATTCTGGACTTTCTAGCCTTCTTTCTCGACTTATTTGCCTTTCTGGATATCCTCCCCCCCCCCCCCCTTCCACATCTGTTACTTCTCAGGGCAGTTAATTTGTATCATGGCATGCTGTAATTTGTTTGCCATCTCCAAGGAAAAGATTGAGAAACTGTAACTGAAACGGAGTGTGTTTGATTTAGAGAAGTAATGCTGGAGCACTGTGTCTACTTTTAGTATGCTGTTGTTTTATTGTTATAGACGGACTGGATCCAGCTGTCTATCTGTCACTTACAGTTCTCTTGAGGGAATGCTCTAACAGTGTTTGTCTTGCTGATAATCTCATCAGCTCTCATAGAGAGTCTTGTCAGTAAATGACACCAGTGAATTAACAACCTTTTCTATGCTTTAAATATGTGAGCAGCCACATTGCTGTGGTGCAGTTGAGATATTTTAGAAAAAAGATCAGTTCTGTTGCTGTGAGGGCAGAGGGAGATGAAGTCATAGGTGAGATGTGGCAGTAATTTCGTCATCTAGTGATAGAGGAGGTTGCCCCAGTGTTAAGCTGTAGATTCACAAACGGGTCCACAGCCCTTCCTGTTCTGTACATGTCTTTAGTAAAGTCTAATGAATATTGTCCCTGGTTGGGTGTGATGTTCTCCCAGGGTTTAATGTAATCTATTTTAGCTTTCCAACCTCTCAGCAACCGAAGTGACATAATGTCTTATAATCTCTTGCAGGCGTATTCCCAGGATGCATACCTCAAAGGAAATGATGCGTACAGCGGAAATGCCCAGAACATCCCGGAGCCCCCTCCCATATGCTACCCTCGGATAGAAGTTAAGACTGCAGGCATGGCTCAGACGTCAGAGCCAGCCAAAGTAACTGAGACCCCCCGAGGGCCGGCTCAGGGACCAGGAAGACGAGGGGGAGCCACGGAAAAGAGCTACCGGGTTGAAATCCCTGTTCCACCATCGCCTCCGCCCCAACAGACGTCAAAGTCTCAGACAGTGGTATGTGTCTGTAATGAGAATGTGAGGACAGTGGCCATGCTGCCTGATCCAGTTGACAGGGGGTCCCGGGTGGCTCGGGCCGGACCCAGCCACAGGACAGAGGAAAACCGGTATAGCCCTTCAGCAGATTCTGGCTCAGCTAGACCGAGACCCCTTATTCCCTCCGTACCTGGGGGTGCACAGTTGCAGTACCCCTTGTCTCGTTCCACAGAAAGCCCACTCTACCCCGCTTCATCAAGACCTGACCCAATCTATCCTGACACATTAGCTCCACCAGTACGGGCCACCACTGCCTCACCGGACACATTCTCCACTGACATCTCGCCCAGCGCCAACCACTACTCACCCTCTCCCACAGCCCCTTCCACCTCTCCACACCAGAACATTGACTGGAAAAACTACACCACCTATAAGGACTATATTGATGCCAAGAGGCTGCACACATACGGCTGCCGCACCATCCAGGAACGCTTGGACAGCTTGCGTGCAGCTGCAAATTCCAGTTCTGCCTACGCCCAGCAACGTACACCACCTCCTCCAAGCGCTAGTCAAAGAGGGGCACTGGGCTCCCAGGTCAGAAGAAGAAGCACCTCCAATGACCGTGGTGTGGATAAAGGTAGCCAGGGTACTGTGGTGACTCCTTTACGTAGCGTCTCACAAGAGAGGCTTGGAAGTGGAGCAGAGAGGACAGCGCCGATCAGGAATTGGCCTCGGAGTGTTTCAGAGGATGCTCTGCCTTTCTCCACCCCCACTGGAGTCCCCAAACCTCGGGCGCGGTCTTGTGACTACCTGGGGCAGCAACCTGCAGAGCCAGGTGGGTTGGCTGTCTTTGGAGATAGAGTGGCGTTGGAGGACAGGCTGCTGCTGTGTCGGGGAGAGGAAGCCAGAGCGAGCAGGCAGGGGACAGGCCTGAGAGCGCTACCTCATCTGAACAGGAGTCTCACTGGACAGGAAGATGAAGGACGAGGAGGTGGATTATCTAATTCGCCTTTAGCTGCTCCTGTGTTTACTAAAGGTACGACAGATTCTGTACTAACCCCAAGGGCAGACAGTGTCATATTGAGACCATCACGTTTGCCTGTCAAAAACTCCATCTCAGAACCTTCACCTGCCTTATCCTCCACTAAAACCACAGACCCTCTTAAAGACCAAAGAGCTAACATCGTGGGCAACCACCTGGGCTACTCCTCGCCTCTGCACCTGCAGCTCAGGGGCAGGGCAGATAGTCTGAAAATGGAGAGCAGGTCAGAGGCTGGGTTGGCAGTCAGGTCCTCCTCCTGCTCTGGTTCCTCCTCCAGACTGCCCCTGCAGAAACAACTACAAAGTGTGGTCACTGCCTCTTCCTCTGGTTCCTCCACCACCAATGGAGCTGTCACCCAAAAGCCAAAAGTCAGAGAAATCTCCAGCACCCTTGTACGGACTAATGGCGGGCTTGCAGAGAGCGTGGAAGGACCAGATGCAACAGTCGTTGTCCTAAGAAGGGACAAAAACTCTGCACCTCCCCACATCCGCCCTCCATCCTATGTACTAGCTGTTAATGACAACCAGGGAGGAGTGACTCACAAGTCACCAACATTAGTGAAGGCAGGCTCTGCAGATGGAGCTATGTGCTGGACATCTAATGACAGCTTTAGGGAGATGCATCTAAGAAGGCTCGGAGACACACGACACAAGTCTGGCTCCAACAATTTGGACGACTCCCTGGATTCAATCCCCTTCATAGGTAAGACTGCACCCGTCTCTATCCCACCTTCCTGTTAAACTCTCCCTGTTTCTATAGCAACAGCAGTGACAGGGTGAGAAAATATGACACAGCATGGTGTTTGTGTGAGTGGAAAAGTATGTTTATGCATGAAAGCTTGGCAGCTGATTTGAATCTGTACCAAATTCTCACCGTGCTTTTAATGATCTGACAGCATATTATATGCATGTTCTGACATATCCAGTCAGGGCTGGGCTTTGAACATGAACCAAAATCTGTTTATGGCATCAAGTAGAAAGTTGGCATCATATACTTGGACAGATCTAAATCTTGTTTATGTGTTGATGTGATATTTCCTTATCGAAATCAGGCAGTGATGTACACTAGATACAGATCAGGAAATGTCAGACTGCATTGTTTTTGGGGAAAGTCCCTGTACTGCTGCTTGTGCTGAGAAGTTTGGCTCATTTTGTTAAAGGACAGCAATGGTTTTGTACAAAAAAATGTTTTGTTTTGGCATCTGTACAGCAACTTGGGTGTTGTGTTGGCACCAGTATGGAAAAACTAAAATGATACCCCAGCCTCTTTATACAGTAAATGAAAAGTGGGAATATTTTTATAGACTAGATCCTTTATCCGCTGTGAAATTCTAACAGGGGTTTAACATACTGCGATACCTGTGGCAGTCTAGAGAATAACACATAAGCTGCAAAGGAGAAGGTGTGTGTGTCTGTATACTGTGTATATATAGCATGTTGGAGGCAGAGAGCAGGGTATGCTATTTCCTGCTTGCAAGGTGTAACTGGTGGGAGTGAACAGCGTACTGTACACTCTAAAGCCCTATTCGCAGAGGATCAGTATTACCAGTGAACCTCATGTGATATATTATTCACACAAGATAAGCAAAGTCTTTACTCAAATTTACTCCCAGTTATGATGCTACACAACACAGAAACACTACACAGCATCACTAGCATCGATGTACAGTGTTAACCTCCTTATTTATTTATTCATTATTGTGGGTTAAAAAAACAGAGCCATTTATTCCACACATTATCACGAGAGAAGATGTTACAAAACTGTTTTTCCCCTCCAAGTACTAATGCCAATGCCGTAACTTGCACATCAACTTATACCAAGTATCGATCCAATACCTTTGTGTTGAAAAAATGTAATTGTTATTTTAATCGTATACTACTAACCCTGTATGGATGTGAAATGATTGCTGTCATCGTTGCATGGCATTGCTCTGGTTAAATCCTTTGTAAGACATGGACAAATACATTCTTTTAACCAGTGTAAAATATTGCCACATCGCTGACATTTTGCTAACGTTTCACTATTCATTGAAAGTCAGAGTTTTAGAGCAGTTTTAGAGCAGAAAATTGACTGCTAGGAAAATGTTGTTTGTGCGGATGTGTTATCTAGTATCGGATCGGTACATAGACTCATGTACTGGCCAATACCCAATTCAACATTTAGAGCAGTAACTGTCGTTACAAGTCGTCTATCACATCTTTGGACATTTTGCTCCTGTGATGGATTTAAACTTGCTCTACGGGGCTCCATGCTGTGTAACGGGATAAGCATTCTGCTCCCAAAATGCTGTCCAAACTTTTATTTATAATTGCCAATGCAACCTCCATAATTTCAAATGGGAAACAAAAGAAGCAGAAGAGAGGTGCAGAGAAAACAAAAAAACCTAATGAAGACCCCAGATCACAATATTAATAATATTATCTCATGACGTCTGTGTTTGGCGAAATATGGTAGGTAATTTGCAGTGGAATTTTTTACTTTACAATTTATGGACATGGCAGATTCGCTCAAGAAAATCACAAACGACCACTGCAGGTATTACAAATCCCCATCCCCAGGTAATACTAGTCCTGTGCAAATGGGGCATTGGTTGCATTAATATCCCATCTTAAAATCCAGTTTAAGTTGGCCTATCTGATATCCCTGTCCAGTTTTAGAGGGGACATAAATATGGTTGCATTTTCAATGTCTCAAAATTTTACAGTAAACATTCCTCTCTCCATGGGAACTAAATTACAAATAAACAAAACATCCTGGGGCTCCCTTCTGCTTCAGGGGTTCATGCATTAAATCACAAAAAACGCATTGAAAATCAAGTGTAAGCCTTCGCAATTTGGCCTTATTTATCATACTACAAGGACATCTATTGTGTCCAAATGTCATCATGAATATACTGCGAGTCTTATGTCTCTCAGGAAATACCCCGGGAATTATGTTGCCTATATAAGAATAATGTTGGATTGAATAAAAAAACAACCACTTGTCCCAGGTCATGAAGGTGGTGTCATACTGCTGTACTTATGTTACAGTCACAGCAGAACCTGTTATATAGGTATTTAAATGCTAAAATAAACTCGTCCCTTTTGGCGTTTTGAACTCAGGGTGACATAGAGTCAGGTGTGTGATTATGTGACAGCATGACACTGTACTGCAGGCAACCATGACGTATTCAAACCACCCTTTGGCATCTGAGTAGGGCAGCACACACACACACACACACACACACACACACACACACACACACACACAGACACACACACACACCCTCCACCCACTCCCTGAATTGTCTCATATTTCCCCCCGGTGTTGTCCAGCAAGAGAAACCCAAGAACATCGTCCTAATGGACTGTGACATAACAGAGAAATAAGAGCATTCCTGCAGCTTCAATTAGATTTCATAGTACAGTTCCAAACAATAACTTGAACAACTGCTGTACATTAGGTGTCTGCTAGACATTTTGTACTGGGAACAGGACACAACTGGTGCTACTTAAGTACATGCAAAATATCACGTCCCACCGATGTTTAGAAATCTTTGCTTTTTCGTGTTTTTGCTCAGAAACTGAATGTATTTATGACAGATCTAATGCATCGCAGTGGAACTGAGCTCTTTATTTACTTGTACAAGAAATACAAAATTAAGTTCTTTAGTTTTGTCCCTTCTGTGTCTTTTGTGACATCCCTGGCAAATTACCAGCTGACATAACTGAACAAGCTTGAACTTGACCTTGCATCCTCAGTTGTGTCATCATTGATGACTCATCAACAGCCAATGAGAGCAGCTGTGGTGTGTCTTCGTGCCCCAGTAACCTGCAGAGGTTAATCATTTCCTCCTCTAGCAGCATCTCTCGCTGTTTACACAACCACACCTGAACTGTCACTTTTCAGTTCTCTATATTAAGATCTACATTAGATGACAATTACAGTACTTCCCAATGTTCTGGGTTTAACGCTGATGTGCTGTGAAAGAAAATATTGAAGCAATATTTCCTTTTACTCTGATCATGTCAGATGGTTGAAGTTTTATATTTTGGCAGACCTTAATGGGATAGTTTAACATTTTGGGTAACAGTGTGTATAATTTAGGGTGATTTAGTGTCATCAAGCAGTGCAGACTGCAGATTGCAACCCACTAAAACTTCTCCTGGTTAGAATTCCTTCAATGTCCATTGTTAGCCGAATTATCCACAGAGGTCTACTCCTTTCCAAAACATTGATTTAAACTGATAAAAACAATAAAGCAGTTTCACGTTACAAATCAGTGTTTCTTAGGTGCTGTTTGGCTCATTGCAGAAGGATTGCTCGTCCTGCATGTGCTGATGTGTGCTCTCCTTTTTCTCTAATAACTTAAGATCCAGACATCATTGAGGTTTTTACCGGGTGACGAATTATCCACAGAGGGTGCTTCCTCTCCAAAACAAACGGACCCAGTGATTTAAACTGGTAAAAACATTGAAAAAAGCAGTTTCACATTCAAAAATCTGTGTTTTTACAACGCTGCTTGTCATGGAGAGGCTGTTAACTACAGTAGAAACATAGCGGTACAACGTGCCGATCTCTGTGGACAAGGATCCTCTTCCTATGTAGATATAAACTGTTCATTCCAAGGTAAAAAAAAACATGAAGATTCTTTTATTCAGGTGTTTATACATTAAAGAACACATACTTATTATATTAGATTCTATTCTTCCAGGATATCCCCCTAAATCCTACACACTGGACCTTTAAGATTAAAATGTCTCTCTTGTCTGAATGCTAAATATAAAACGACAGCCAGCTGCTGCTCAACTTAACTTTGCATAAAGACTGGAAGCAAGAGGAAACCACAAGTCTAGCTCTGTCCAAAGGTTAAAAAAAAAAAAAAAAAAAAAAAAATACACCTACTAGCACCTCTGTGGCTCACTTATTAACGTGTTACATAGTGTTTGTTTTGTACAAAAGCTGAGGTGTAAAAATGACATGTTACACTTATATGGGCGGTTATATGCTGGACTCTTTCTTGGCACAGTGACCTCTTGGACAAGATGTTGAAAAGTTGGGTAACTGCTTCCCTGTGTTTCCAGTCTTTAAATGAAGCTAAGCGAACCATCTCCTGACTCTAGGATATGAGACCTATAAGTAAATAAGCTTACTTCCCAAAAAGTGTTTTTCTAATGATCTTCATCCTCTGTTTAATGCTTAGTCATTCTTGATGTTCACAAATTGACATTCTCTGAAAAAGTAAACTGTTACTGTACGTGTCAGACGTCACTGACTGCCACAACTTTCCCAGAAACAGGACTGAAGGTATACAAACAAGTGATTAAACAAAATGGGCTTCTCTGCCAGGCCGGGAAGAAATGAGGTTTGCGGTGTCATGGGAGATGTGTTTGAGGTTTGAGGGGAAAGGGATTTCACAGCAGTAATCTGTACACAACTTGTTCTATTGAAAGTTAAACATTGGCATTAGTGCATTAGGGGGAATTTAATCATTTAGATCTTTTTAGGGTCCGGGGAGCTAAGCTGCCAGGACACTATTGCAATCCTAGGTATTCTTCTTCTTCTTTCTTCTTCCAAGGAAATCATACTTCCCATGGGTGAAAACTCACCAAACTTTGCACAAAGGTCCAGTCTCATGCCAGATATCCTCAGCTGTAAACTCAAGCCAATAGTCCTGATGGTACAACTTCACAACTTTCATCAAACTGTAGCCCCAATATTGACAAAACTTTTGTACACTTAAACCTATTAAAAATTATGAAGTTCAGCACTCTATTTTTTTCAAAAACTGTAAAACTTCTTAAACCTATCTCCTCCCACAATTTTTGCTCAATTGACACCAGACTTGCTACAGAGCATCTTCAGACTGTCCTGCAAAAACCATGTTTCTCAGATTTTTGATTTATCAAAAATTGAGCCTACAGTGCATCAAAATGTTTGACTGTAAACATATACATGCTAATTCTTGCTAAATAAATCTTCAATGAGAGAATGACAAAATTCTAGAGTCATGGTAGATGATGTGTGGCAAATTTCAGAATTTTATCTCAAAAACTGAATTTTTGACAGCATTTTGAATTTTGCTCTAATGTGAACAATTGGAGTCAATGTAAAAATGGCATTTTTAAAATTGCCTGAGCGTGACTGATCACAGTGCAGCATTTTCAAGTCTTTTTTCTGCTAGAAAATCTGCCTTCTCATGCTTGAAAATAAACCAAACTTTGCACAAAGATCCAGTGTCAATACTTCAGTGTGAAACCATCTGAGGCTTCTCACTTTGCACATAGCTCAACTAGTTAAACATCGGTTTTTCACTTATGGAGCAAATCAATCATTGTTACAAACAAATTACCAAAATCTCCATGCTGTCTAGATGCAATATATGTATTTTCAGATTTTGTCAGAATTGTCACTGACTAATTAGCTCAGTGAGATAGAAATTGATTCTTAGTCTCAGAGGTTGTGAGTTCAAGCCCCAGCTGATGCAAAAGGCAGGTTGTGTTGCTAAATCCCTAAATGTCTTCCAATTCTTGTCCTTGTTACTCAGAATTGCCTAAAAATGCCCGGACCCGACTCATCGCTGCACAGCAGCTATAATTTACTCTTATTCTTTCTTAATTGTAATGATTATTTTATAATAGAGGCAGTGTGGGGTTTCATAAATATGACGTGCTCTACTTAGCTCTAAAAAGAGTGCTAATGTTGGTAGTTCTTCATTAGGTTTCACCTGCCCTCCTGCATCACTACAATTACAGATATGATTCATGGAACAGGTCTCTTCATTTGTTTTTAGGGCTTGCCATCCTGCTGATATTGCATATCAGATGCTCTGACACAGCGGTGTGTCTGTGATGATGTAATGTTAGCTGACTATCCTGCATGTGTGTATTTAAAAGGAAAGGTGTGTACGTGCTTATCGGAACAGAAATGCGTATACGCTGTCTGACTGCGTCTCTGTCTGCATCACTTAGCTTTTAGCCCCATGCACCCTTATCACAGCACTTTATGGCTGTCTGCTGAAATGTTTATTCAAGTAGAGATAGCAGAGGTGAATTAGACTTTGTCTTTAGATGATTTAATTTACAGGATGATGTTTTCTGTTGCAAAATGCAGCTGATTATATGCCAAAGTTATAGAAAGATATAGTTATAGAAAGACTGAACTTCTGTATTATAGAAGTTCAGCTTCAGGTGACCACACAGCGGATCTGGTATTTGTGACCACCACAAACTAATGTAGTTAGCCAGGTAATGATCTGTCAATGGCTTCAGAAGTAACGCTCGCTTGCTAATGTTGGTGGGAAGCTAGTAAGCGAATATGCTAACCCTTGCAGCTTATAAACATGCAACACACAGTTTAATCTTTTGCTTACACTTCTGCGCTTGTGTTTTTGGTTTCAAAATATTCTCAAAGAGATGCCCTTCAAACTCTTTAAATTGGATTGGATTAATTGGGCAGTCACTGTTTGGAGGAGGAGTTTAACTAACAGTTCCAACCTGAAGTGCTCAGGGGCAAAATCACAAAAGGAGCGTGGCTTTTGCAGCCGCTAAACCTGCACAAATAAGGCAAAAATAAACGGTGTAGTTCTCAAAGTAACCACAAAGGGTGAAATGTGCCCCTAACTGCGCTGCCACACAAATAGCATCTCGGTTCTCCTGTGGTATTTGCGCTTATGTAAATGAGGTACTTTGCATAACTTCGGTGCGAAATTGGCCCCTTTCTATGCCAATTAGCGTCATTGCCAAAACGCTAACTGTCACATGCAACAGTGAAATTATTAGCGTCTTCGGAGAGTTGGTGGTAACTGAAATGCATTCATAACGAGTGTCACACCCAGACTCTGTCACATTAAAATTCCTTGTTGGTATGTTTGCGCTGCAGTTACATCAGCACAATATCTTTTGTGAACTGGACCTTGAGACGGGGCAGATAGTGGTTGCAAGTGATGAGTAATTCATGGTGCTATCAGCGGTGGCAATCTATTCATTGTGAATTTGGCCATGTGATTTCTTTGCTCTCTGACTAAATACGTTTGTCTTTGTCCTCAGATGAACCATCTAGTCCCAGTACTGATCAGGACAGCACACACATTCCTGCCTCAGCTGTTATATCTACAACGCCCATCATCACCACCATCCCACCCAGCCCCACCTCTCCGTCCCCTCTCATTCGACGCCAGTTGTCACATGACCAAGGTATGTTCATGTCAAAGCAGCAAAATTGGGCCTGTGACTTTCACTGAACTTGCCAGTTCAGGTTATGAGCTGTTACAAATAATTATTTTAACCCTCTCTTAATAGATTCTCTCCGTCTCACAATTATTGAGTCAGATTCTGGTTCTAAAACAGAGCGGTCCAAGTCATATGATGAAGGCCTGGATAACTACCGGGAAGAAAGCAGAGGGTAAGTTATACCCAAAACAGTGTATTTACTAGCTGCTAGTGGGTTTGATAGTAGCAAAAAAGTACCCCTTGTGTAAATTTATAAACAACCTCTTCTCTTCCATGTAGGAGGTCCTTAATACCTGGTCTGAAAAGTCTGCGGAAGGTGAGTTCAGTCATATTTTATCAAGCATGAGTTGTCTAGTGCCAAATGAGCTCACCCACTACGACGGGTTTATCAGCATTTCCTGTTTGAACGTTTATCAGCTCATTAGTTCACACCCTGAAGATAAAACTTCTCCAAGTGAATTGTGAATATATAATGAAAAATAGGGATGGCTGTAAAAGCAGCATTAGGTAATCAAAGTCTATTTGTATCTGTATTTACGTCAGCTTGTATATATCCTTGAATTATTAACTGATGAACTTTGAAGTTGGCCAGTGCAACCATTGTCTTACAATCGATAGCAACCAAGATTACATGTTTTCCTGGTGCTAGCAAATGACTGTGTGTAGTAGCAATTTTTCCCATTAAAAATCACCAATGAAAGCTTCTAAATACAACTGGACATGTCCCTGCAGGAATATGATCTGAAATTAACAACATTTGTAACCAAGATTACTTGTTTCCCTGCTGTTATAGCATGTTGCTACATGTAGCATTGTAGGCTACATAATTCGTACACTTGCAGTAGCATACCTAGAGAAGATGACCATAAAGAAAGCTGTCAAAAGTTGATGTCAGCTTGTCTCAAAATTTAAAAAAAAAAAAAACTTTGACCATGTTAAATATGAACATCCAGGGCTCAACAATAAGGATTGCCCGATTGCCCGGGGCAAGTAAAACTCACGGTCGGGCATGTAAACTAACAACTCACTTGCCCGATCGGGCAAGTTGCTAAAAATAGTAAAAGTTAATAACTAATTGATAAATTAAATGTATTTTAAAAAGTACTCTTCTGCTCTGATGCAGCGGTCTCTCTGCCTGAAGTCATAGGCACAGCTGTGTAACAATGTCCTGCCCACAGCCCCCATTGATATTATTTTGCGCGACGGACGCGTCATATAATAACATAACAATATACTATTTATGGTGTTACGCCATCATGTCATTTCTGTCTCTACATGGTCACGCGTTAACAATTCTCCTCTGCTCTCTGTATCGCGCATGGCGGAGTTCCGCCACACACACAGGTGATCACGCTAGAGCGGCTCGGGCCGCATTTTCCTGACCAAACCTGACCCCGAGCCCGGTGCAGTTTGTCAGCTGACAAAGTTATTGTTATGGACAGTGTGTAAATAACCAATAGACTGCTGTTACACACAGACAAACACGCTGCTCGCACAGCAGCTCAGTACGGCAATCATGCAGAGCTTGTGTTGCGTTCAGGCGTTGTCACGTAAATAACAACTTCCAGCACTTAAATAGGTCATAGCACAAAACAGCAGCATGTCGAGTGACTTTTTACTTTTATTATATTCAATAAAATTGTATGTTCCTAAATCTTGAGACAGCTCATATGTAAGCTAGACAGACATTTCACCTGCTCATTACTGTGCACACATGTACTGTATGTACTTAGTCCTAAAGAGCCCTTCTGGTGCCAGTAGATACATAGAAACATCCCAGCAGGCTGTGCTTTGCAAGCATACAAAAAAGTTTCACGCATTTGAAAATTATTTTTCATGCGTGTGCTTCACCTCCGCTGCTACAACTCCATCCTAGGGGAAACAGTGCTGTGTGCGTTTTGTGCAACAGGTGGATGTGGTAGTCTACTGGTAGAGTAGAGAGAGAGCTAAGTAGCGTTGAAGTAGAGTAGAGTAGAGCAGGGCAGAGAGATGGAAGCAAAATATATTAAACCCAGTGTTAATACAGCAGAACTGGAGAGAGGGGTGAAAAATAAATAGAGGTGGGCATGGCTCAAGTAGAGAGCAAAATTATAGACAGAGAACGATTGACAAATTTTTCACTTTAAGCCCTAACACTGTCATTTTTGTGTAGGAATTAAGCTACAATACATGACATATGTTGTTTTAATTAATAAATACAGTGTGAATAAAGATTACATAACATAAAAATAACTGCAGTCTTTGTTATTTGATAGCCGCTTAAATTAAACAGTTTTTATAGGGCAAGTAAAAACTGACTTCGGGCAAGTAGATCTCTGACCAACTTGCCCAACCGGGCAAGTGAAAAAAACCTTAGCGTTGAACCCTGAACATCCAACATGTATGACAGAAAATAAGGATAAGTATAATAGGTTTCCATTAACAGAAACACTTTTGGCTTAATGTTTTGTTTTTTTTGTTTTGTTTTTTTTTTTGTTATCCGTCACAGGGGGTGGACAGATCATCAGATGATTCAGGGTCCAGGAGGGATTCTACATCCGACGTCTTCTGCGACGCCACCAAGGAGGGTTTGCTGCATTTCAAGCAGCTCAGCACAGACAAGGGCAAGGTGTGGACCGTCTCTACATACAAAGCCATCATATAACTCACACACTAACACGGAAAGCACATCATGACCTACTGAACCACTCGGTTTGTAAACAGAAGCAGGGCTGCCCTTGTTTCCAGAGTATAGCTTTGTCTGGCTGTGTTATGCTGTGCTGTATGTTTCACCTGTTGGACCAGTTTCAACTCACAGCTGCCTTTGACCTCTTTGTATGAGGTCTCACTGCCCCCAAGGCAGCGATTAGAGTTATGATGCCAACAATAGGAACATTTACAGAAAGCTTACAGTTTAATTCCCTCCATTTTGCTTTGTAAAACTCGTCTCCTTCTCATGACCTATTTCTGCAGCGTGTCGGAGGAGGTATGCGACCGTGGAAACAGATGTACGCCGTGTTGAGAGGCCACTACCTCTGCCTATATAAAGACAAAAAGGAGGGACAGGCTCATGCCAACTGCCAAGCAGTGGACGAGCCCCTGCCTATCAGCATCAAGGCCTGTCTGATTGACATCTCATACAGCGACACAAAGCGTAAAAACGTGCTGCGGCTGACCACGTCGGACTGCGAGTACCTGTTCCAGGCTGAGGACCGCGAGGACATGCTGGCCTGGATCAGAGTCATACAGGAGAGCAGCAACCTGGATGAGGAGGTAAGAATCAGTGGTTCTTGCATGATGCATGCTCCATTAATTCCTAAGTGGCACCTGCAAGTGATATAAGAGTACAACTACATACAGACTTAATTCAGTGTATGAGTCGCCACAGGGGAAAATAATTGCAATACCTCAATCTGAATGACTAATTAACGTAATTTCATTATGAAAATGGCTAAAATAAACTTCACCATATTACGGGTTAACAATTTACTGAGCGGTACGGCAGCATCTTTTTCTTTCTGGATTTCATGATTTTTCTGGCATTTACACCTCAGTAGTTCACACTAGGACAGCTGCCTTGGGGTCTCCATGTACTGCGCTGTCCAGGTGTACATCCTCTGTTACAACACACCTAACAGTGTGACATCACCTTCTGAATACATGTCCTATTGCCCTACAATGACTGTCACATCCTCTTCGCCTCCTACCAAGTCATCATGACCTACTTTTTTTAAGCACCAGTCCTTCTTTGTGTCTGTAACTGTCACAGAACAGTCAGTGGCCGCTGTAATATTCTCTATTGTTTGGAGTCCTGATATAGCACGACTGATGTTGCTAAATTTGTTATGTGTTCATCGGCTGATATCCAACAGGGGGACCTGAAGTTCCACAGTGTGAAATCCTTTTTTTGTGAATGAAACTTGCCCACTAACTGAGTGGAACAGGAAGACTTTAATAGCAATTTTTGATCAATCAACCTCTCAAATATGAATATTATTTTCTTTGTCAAACAGCCAAAATACATAGGCTACAGACGCGGCACGACACGCCTGCCGCAGCATGCCCACAGCAGAGCGCATCTATTAAAATCATTTGAAGCTGTTACCCTGACCACAGAAGTCATGCTTGCCCAGGTGGGCACTGCACTGTTTAATGCTGTCTGGCTGATCTATTGTTTTTTTCTCTGTGCACGGCTCTTCGGCCCTATAAAAGGTAAAAAAGTACAATAGTACAAAAGTACGGTCTGTTAAAAAACATTTGAAATACTCCATGGGGTGCCCTGGGCAGCTCACCTGGTATGACCTGAGCCCCTCCTCTCCCCTCTTTTCTGTCCTTCAGCTGTCTATTGAAACAAAGGCAAAAAATGTCCCCCTAAAATATAAAAAATAAAAATAAAATACATACTTTCCTGTACCAGATGCAGCAGAGCAACCTTGTGGGTGTTTTTACATTCACATTAACATAAATCAATTCAATCAATGCATCCTGTTGTTATAACGACCCACTTAAGTATTCCAGTAACAGTTAATAAAGTCAGTACACTTCCAAAACCAGCATAACAAGCTGCATTATCACCTGGCAAAAATAAATATGCACAAAGTGAAGCTGGCAGCAACCACAAGCCACAAAGACAGCATCTGTGTAGCAGGTAAAAACCCCGCTCGGCCCCGCCTATGTGACGCGTCACGCCCTTGCATATCTTTGTGGTTTGGAAAAAACTAATAAATAAGTCAACTTGGGCTTTTGTGAAATTGTGTTCAGCATTTTTCCACTGTTTCTCAACGTTTTATAGACCTAAGGTAATTGGCAGATTCGTCAGTAATAAAAATAATTGTTAGTTGCAGCCCGAAGAATGATTAAATCTCACAAACACACACATCCTCATGAACAGGTGGCGCACCTCAGGTTAAAACAAGCGATTTATATGAGTAAACCTCATCGGAAAAAGGAGATTTAGGATGAGGAAATGTTCTTGTATGAGGCCCTTTGTTTTAATTTGATACATTGCATAGCCTTTCCTGTTGACATTCACAATATCACAAATGTGATATCATATAGCATATAATGAGAGGATACAGTGTATATTTCTTGCTATATGCCCCACTGTGTCTTAAAATAGGCACATCTCCCCCAATTAGAAATTTAAGCCGCTCCTTCCCCCTCTTTTTACAACCTAACCACACTATCCATACTATGACGTCCAATAGTCTTACCTGTGTCACCTGATAGCAGCAGGTTCTATGGAGATCCATTATGGCCTGTTAGGGGTGTGGGGGTGTGAAGGGAACAGTTGCACCTGATGCCTTAACTATCAACTATTGTGTCCTCTGCTCTGCTCCCCTTTCCTTCCTTCCTTCCTTTTTCTTTCTTTTTTTAGAACGCGGCCTTCACGAGCCATGACCTCATCAGCAGGAAGATCAAGGAGTACAACACCTTGATGAGGTAAGTGGGGAGGGGAGGGGAGAGTAGGTGGGGAGAGGAAGGAGGTCCTCACACTTTAGGAGAACTTGACACAGTGCTGGATAAGTTACTGACAGGGAAGTTGAATTTGTGATTTATGTTCCCAGTCCGACAGGCAGCAAGACGGAGCCATCACCCAAACCTTCACGCCAGTCACTGAGCATCAGACAGACGCTGCTGGGAGGTAAAGGAGAGACCAAAGCAACAAGTCCACTCACACCCAAACCTGAGCAGGAGAAGAAGAACATGCACAAAGGTAGGAAAAGAAACAATTTCAATTTAATGTAAGTTTGTTTATTCTTAGCATTTTATGGCTTTTGCAAGAAAAGAAATTACATACTAAACGTAAAAAAATAAAATAAAACGTCATTCTCACTGTACTCTATGTTGCACTGTGTTTGCAGATGACACCAGCCCTCCCAAGGATAAAGGGACATGGAGGAAAGGCATCCCGGGGCTGATGAGGAAACCTTTCGAGAAGAAGCCGTCTCCTGGAGTCACGTTTGGAGTGAGGCTGGACGACTGTCCTCCTGCACAGACCAACAAGGTTTGTACTGATTTTATTTGTAGTAAAACATAAAAACACTTTGTGGAGAAAAACTGAATAATTTTGGTCATGGAAAACCTGGAACAGTCATGGAAATCTCAGTCACATTGTCCTGGCCTGGAGAAGTCATGGAATTTTGTTGTGTGTTTTAAAATTGTTACAGTAATTTTAAATGATAACCTCCCACGTAATGTAACATAACATTTTATTTACCATTACGTATGTTTCTTCATTTTCTTCCCATGTCCATGTATGCCCGCTAGCTGAAATTATGTTTGAATAGAGTTTGAGTCTGATGTGTTAGAAAATACTGGGCAAGTGGGGGTATGGGTCCTTGAAAAGTCATTGAAAAAGTTTTTAAATTTCTTTCTTATATGTTTTGTAATGCATTTCTTTAATAAGTTCATCTGTTTCTGATCTTGAACAGACCGTAATAGCATCCCTGCACGTCCAATGAGCTAATCGTTATCTGCATTTGTCCTCTAGTTTGTGCCTCTGATCGTGGAGGTGTGCTGTAAGCTGGTGGAGGAGAGGGGGTTGGAGTACACAGGCATCTACAGAGTCCCAGGAAACAACGCAGCCATCTCCAACATGCAGGAGGAGCTCAATAACAAGGGCATGAACGATATCGATATCCAGGACGATGTGAGTGACACTTTATCGATCGGTGTTGCTTTAATTAAACTCACCTTGGAGTTTCACGTTCCACTGTGCTGTCCTTAATGTGTTTGGATAGCTGCAAGGCTGAGATATTTTTAAGGCTGCAGTTTTATGTAGATGTTTGCACACAGAACAGATCTCCACACCGAATACCTGCCAGTGATGTGTCATTTCGCAGCCTTTAAAACTATTTTTTTGGGCATCCAAAGCAACAGACAGGAAAAGCCAACATTAAATCCTACATTTCTGGATTGTCAAGATCACAACCTGCTAATGGTGGTGCAGTAGTCAAAGCTACAGCACCGTGATAGTGGATGTGACACATTTATGTGACCTTTAAATCATCCTGCATGTTGAATAAACATGTCTTGCATCATTATCATACCATATTATCATGTTTTACAGAAATGGAGGGACCTCAATGTGATCAGCAGTTTACTCAAGTCCTTCTTCCGAAAACTTCCAGAGCCATTGTTCACCAATGGTAAGTTGCTTTTTTCTCAGGCTTTGCATGCCATCTAGTGGCCAAAATAGAGAAATACAGGTCAGTAAAATAAAATGTTGACCGTTGGGGCTTCTCAAAGTCAAAGATGCTTCCTCAGTTTGACAGGTCCTTCTTAGATGGGTCCTACAGAGGCAAGACTCCTTCGTAGCATTCAGGGAACACATAATTTAATTTTTTTTAGGATTTTAGGATCCTTCCTTGACTTTGAGTAGCACCTCAAATTTCCTGTCCTTAATCTGATTTTTTATTTCTGCCTACAGAAAAGTATGCAGATTTTATAGACGCCAACAGAACAGAGGACCCAGTGGAGCGACTCAAAGTGCTCAAGAGGCTGGTGAGTTTCTTTGACAATTAATTACCTTTTCCTTTTGTGTTCTATAAATTCCCATTTTTCTTGTATATTATCTTTATTACTTAAATTGTTTTTTTTTCTTTCTTTTTTTAACGTGTTCACACCATGCTAATGAAATCTGTATGAAATGCAACAAAAAATATTTAGAAAAAAATCCAATGAGAATTCAGTTTTGTGTTTCTTTGTGTCTCCACCTAACATCTCTGTTTCCCCTCCATCTACTCACAGCTTCATGAGTTGCCAGATCATCATTACGAGACCCTCAAGTTCCTCTCGGCTCATCTCAAAACTGTGGCAGAAAACTCAGAGAAGAATAAGGTGTGTAACTTCGAGAACTCTTCATGAACTTTTAAGTTTTGATCATAGAAATTACAAATTAAAACTCGGTCACTCGTTTGTTAAGATGGAACCAAGGAACCTGGCCATCGTGTTCGGTCCCACTCTGGTGCGCACCACAGAGGACAACATGACCCACATGGTGACACACATGCCAGATCAGTACAGGATAGTGGAGGCCCTCATTCAAAATGTGAGCATCAGAGCTTTAACTTCTATTAAAGATAGTAAACCAATTTTTTCACATGTTAAACACAAAAACTAAACTTTAAATATTTTTCTTTCCTCTAGTACGACTGGTTTTTCACTGAAGATGGAAACGAAGATCCAGTGGTGGGTACAGGCATCACTGCCATTCAATTATTTCCTCCCGGCTCTGTCCTCGCAATTAATTCAGACATAAAAAATCAACCAAAAAACAGTGTTTAAGGCCAATCTAGAGGTGGTCCGCAATCTCCAGCACTACAGTGAACTGACCATCTTGTTTAAAAGACTTTGGCTTTGTGTATATTTTGGATTTGCACCTTATTTGCATTTAATTGTTAATGTTATCTAAGACTTTTATATTTGTATTCTGCCCACTTTGTATTGCAGCTGCTGCACAGCAATTTCCCTCGGGATCAATCAAGTTTTATCTTATCTCATGTACTGCAGCCGTTCAGTTCTTTCTGTTGCTGAAATACAAAGAAAACTTTTATTGGTTTAATATTCAGGCGATGTTAGACACATTTCACAATGGAGGATTAGTAGAACAGCTTGTTGAAAAACTTGTACTGTGTTTTACCTCTTAGTGCTGCACATTTCTCTAAAATGTCCTCATGAATCTGCTCCTAACTGAGCTACATCTGCTCCTTTCAGACTGTGTCCCACGAGGAGAGCGCGGTGGAGTCTCAACCCGTCCCCAACATCGACCACCTGCTCACCAATATCGGCCGTACGGGCACATCACAGGGTGAAGTATCAGGTAACACGCTGCCTTTGGCAGACCAACTCTTTGGTGGGTTAACCTTTCTCTACCCTTTCTCTGCTGAGCGCTGTGGTCAAAGAGGGACCGGTGTGTAATCTAGTAACTGTTGATGATAACGCTGCTTCTTCCTGAGGCCAAGCTTCCCCTTTTTGCTTCTTTGGCTGTTGCCACTAGATAGAAATGTCTATGGCTAACCATGAGTCCAAATGCCTGTGTGGGTTTCAGTAGGCAATTTATTTGCATGACTGAAGTTGAAAGGATGCAATAAATTGTCTCGCTTCTTCATTTGCTGTAAGAGATTTATCCCCCCTCTTAGGTATTTATTCGTCCTTTAAAGGGTGACTTTGGTGTTTTTCAACTCAGATCCTATTTTCCCATGTTTTTGTGTCTAATAAACAGTTTCAAAAATTGCTGTTTCCACTTGTCACTTAGACACAAAAACATGGGAAAATAAGGTCCAGGTTGAAAAATACTTAAGTTACCTTTTTAATACTTAGACGTCCTTTTTCGTTTTTGATCACCCCTCTGCCCCTTACTACCTCGTTATAATCAAACTCCACACCTGGGCTGTGTTTCCTCCCTCCCTTTATCCTCCCTACTGTTGCACTAATAAGGCATGTTCTTTCCCACGTCAGAAATAGATGTTTTTACAGTGAAAGGCGACCTCTGATTCCTCTGTCTCTAGTGAGGCTCTGTCGGGTGTCCTAAAGGCTTTCCCAGCATTCACACATACTGATCTTGACACAGGCCAAGTGGGAGGCGTCTATCACACCATGATGACACTGATGGACTCTATAATGTCCGTGATGGACAGCTGGAACTGTAGGAAGAAGGAGGATTGTTGCCCCCAGTGTAGCTGCCTAGTCTGCAGGAACCCGCAGTTATTTTAAGTGCCAGAAAATGCCAAAGAGAGAAAAAACACAAAAGAATTCAGGAAAGAAACTGTGACTAAAAAAGGGGAAGCGAAGCGGCTACACGGTACTGTGCAGTGTCCGGGTTTTCTATCAGAGTATACCTAACACAGGCCGGTGCTACTGTCTGAAAGGCTCTCCGCTGTCTCTCCTCACTGTCTCGCAAGCTTGCCAACAGGAGAGATAGCATGGTATGGTTTCTACGTCACCAGTCAGTGTGCACTTGCATATTGTGCCATCATCTGTATTGCAAGGGGTGTATAGGGGGGCTTGGCTATGTCACCCAAACAAACAAATTTTAAGCTAGATGGATGATATGAGTAGATGTGATTACAGAGCAGGTGAGGACTGATTATAGGTTTTCCTTGCTGACACTCTCTTTCTCATGTAGTGTCCCCTCTTCTCATATAGCTAGCCCCTCTGTGACCCCCCTGTCACTTGTGTCATTATTTTGGTTTCTTCCATAGCCGTCTCTGTCATCACCGTGTCACTTGTGTCACTGTCACCTCACATTGCTTCATCAGCTCAGCTTAAGAGCATCATCATTGATATCGTCTGTAAATATCACAATATCTTTTTGGTTTTAGCCGGCATTAAATGTCCAGTCACATTAAATCAGGTTCATGTCTGCATCCCTGGATATCCCTCACCATCCTGTGTTGCATGGAGCATCATCCGCCTTGCTGTTCAGCTGCTGTTAAATGTACTCGTTGTACACGATGTTCTGGTGTGTTGGGGAAGAACGTCACATGCCATGAAGATGTGGACCTGAGTGTAACGTAGAGCTCATCTGTCCCTGTGTGAAGCATGGCCCGTTGTCTGCTCGTGTGTTTGCTCACTTGTCTTGTCAGTTCTGTGTTTTTACTCCATGTGATCCTTCTCATCAACATTGTTCTCTTCTCCTTTTTTTCTCCCTGATTCATTTTCCCATGTTGCACCTCATACATGTGTTGATCTATGCTGTAAAATCATCTAACGTGTCTCTCTCTTCTTTCTCTTTACCCACAGATTCACCGACTAGTGACTCAGCTAAATCAAAGGTGAGTGTGAGTGCGCCCAGTGTTTACCCTCCCAGGCCACTGGTAGTGTAGGATGACAGGAGGTAGGTGCCGAGCAGGAAAGATCGCCTCCACCTCCAGTCAAGATGAGCGCCAAATAAATGTTTCAAAGCCTGCATTTAAATACTTGTTTCCCTCAAATCAGAAAAAAACACCTCTTGTGGTATGTCTTGTTGCAAATGGTTTCACTGCCCAGCTTGGATAGATATCCCATTTTTCTGTATCCACCCTGATAGAGAGGGATAAAAGTTAATTTGTGCTGCACACAAACAATAGAAGAAATGCATTTAAGAAAGTCAGCAGCAACATCTCTTCACTATCTAAAACAGTAGACCAAAATTGTCCTCATCCTTACTGAAATTTTGCATGAAATGAACATGATATTGTAAATGTTTTTTCATTTTTAAGTCATGACAGGGATGCAGATAATTGCAGCAAGCTGATGCTTTGTGTGTGTTTTTCTATTTATATCATAGTGCTGTAGTTCACTAGGCATTCATCATACAATGTAACATGCCTAAAATGTGATACTATACAGTTCACAACAGATATCAGCTAAGATTTTATTAAAACTCATCTGGCAGTGTGGCATGCAATGAGCTCTCAAGACTGTTGGAAATAGTCCCAATAAAAGCTGTTGACAGAAACCAGGGTGTTGTTTCTTGGGAAAAATGTTTCTGTTGAATATTTGAAATGTAATATCTCAAAGGTGTGAGCACCACAAATCATACTTAGTTCAAATCCTTAGTATCAGGGTGGAGGCAGACATGGGTATCTCCAAACTCAGATGAATAAAACCAAAACTATCTGCAGTGGTAGATACCACAAGAGCTATGTAAGAAAGTATGTTCTTTTTAATTTGGGTGAACCGACCGTTTAAGTTCATGAGTAGTCTGTCAGGTCTAACCAGACAAAGCCGATTGTACATCCAGTGAGCCACAGCCTCTTTTTCTGCATCATGACACATCAAACTAGAGGCTGAGAAGTTGAGGATTATGCAGTTCCTCGCTATGAGAAAGAAAAGTAATACTTGAGATTGTGTCATCAGCAGAAGCAGGTCCCTTTCATCACTGCGCTGCTGTTGTGTGGCTGCTTTCCTCCATCTTATAAGCCAGTCATGTCAGAGCTCAGGCTCATGCAGGGATGCTTCAGTTTATGCTGTGCTGCTGCTTCTTCTTCTGCTTCTGCTTTAAGGCTGGCATGACAATAAAACTGTGCTCCCTGTTTGTGACGCCTGTTAATGTTCCTCTCTCTGTCCACTTCTTCTGGTTTGTGGTGCTTCACGGGAGCAGGTGAAGTACAGGTTTAAGTGTCCAGGCAGTGGTGAAGGGTTTTTGTTCTCTTGTTCCGTTTTGTTCATCAGCGTCAGAAATACTCATTGTCCTCCTCCCTGTCTCTCCCTCTCTGCAGGGTTCCTGGGGCTCAGGGAAGGACCAGTGCAGCCGAGAGCTCCTGGTCTCCTCCATCTTTGCTGCAGCCAGTCGCAAAAGAAAGAAGTCAAAGGAGAAGCCGCAGCCTAGCAGCTCAGATGACGATCTGGATGCTGTGTTCCCCAAGAAGGAAATCCCCAGCCAGAAGCCGAACCACCACGGCCTCCAGACTGAGGTGCAGAGAGAGACTCGCCCCAGCCCCAATGCAAAACCCAACGCAAAGCAACCAGCGCAAGCAGAGGAGAGGAAAGAGAACGGGAGGAATGTGGAGCTCACACCTAAAGTCAAGAGAGAACATAGAAACTCCTTATTCCTGAAGGACAAGACTCCACCCAGACACCCCTCACCTGTCCCCTCCCCATCCCCAAATATCCCTGGCTACCAAACTGCTCCTCAGGCGAAGTCCTCCCTGTCGGATCCCCCGTCCCAGCTGGATGAAAACACCTCAGACCTTGGGACCATGAGCTCTGGAGCATCTGTGTCCCGATCAAGACCGAAGAAGTGGACCGGAGCAGCCCCTGATCTTCCTGCAGGAGCAATTGTCGGACTGGCAGCAGGTCCAGGGGCATCTGCCGGTGCAGAAGTGAGCTCCATCACCTCTGACTACTCCACCACTTCTTCCATCACCTTCTTGACCGGAGCGGAGTCCAGCGCACTCAGTCCGGAGCTGCAGGGTGGGGAGGAGGCAGATGACGAACGCAGCGAGCTCATTAGTGAGGGACGACCCATGGAGACGGACAGTGAGAGCGACTTCCCTGTTTTTGCCCCGGGCGGTGGCAGCAGCCAGTCTACACCCTGCCCAGAGCAGAGTCTGGAAAAGGCTGAACAAAGAGGAGGTGGAGGAGCTGAGGGGAGCACCACACCAAAAATGGAAGCGCGGCGGCTTTTTCCGACACACAGGATGATTGAGTGTGACACCCTCTCCAGAAGGTGGTCCCTCAGACAGAAAACAGACAGTGAGTCATCAGTGGAGGGTGTTGCCGGCAGTGGGGAGCGTGGAGAAGGGAGAGCGGAGTCCTCAACGCGTCTCTCTCGAGTGCTGGAAGTGATGAAGAAAGGGCGGTCCACGAGCAGCCTCAGCTCATCCTCACGCAGCGAGTCGGAGCGTCCTGAACCAGCCTGGCACCTTAAGATCACAGAGCGGCTCAAATTCAGGTTACGCACATCTGCCGACGACATGTTCACCCAAAAGAACCGAGGTTCAGACGCTCGTGGGAAGAAGAAGAACATCCGCCGAAGGCACACCATGGGCGGACAGAGAGACTTCGCAGAGCTGGCGGTCATCAACGACTGGAGGGAGCAGGGCGGGGTGGACCAGGCGGCTGAACTGTCAGCTCTGGACCGCCTCAAGCCCAGGTGTTCCTCTCAGGACTTCTCCATCCGGGACTGGATCGCTAGAGAGCGGAGCAGGGGCTCCGATTCAAGCGTTGAGGTCGCACCCAAAGCAGTTCCCGAGGACGATCGTCCAGAAGCCCAGGACGCAGCTCCGACATCTGCATCACCGGCCGTGCAGCCGCTAGCGGGGGAGCACGTTAATGGTAGCGGGCTGCAGGGCAAAAACAAATCCAGCCTCGGGGCGGACGCTCACCCACACAAACTGTCTGGGGCGCAAGTCGTCCGCTCACGGTTCTACCAGTATCTGTGACGACGGCAAGAGCGGGCTTGTCTGGTGTGTTTGTGAGGAATAAAAAAAAACTGAATGAATGCGTAAATGTACGAATGTGGGTATTTTAGCTAAGGTTACTGCACAATATTTTTTCTACAAAGTATACTTTATGTATCTACTGTACATACTGTGTATAGGCTTATGTGATTGTTACTGGAATAATGCTGAAGAGATGTTTATGTGTGTAATTCCACTGACTTGTTGGCCATACTGGAACAGACACAGACAAAACTTGGACTTCCTCCTGCAACATCGAACCCTGCAAACGCAAGAATGTGACTTTGCTGTCGATAGGTTGTGTCAGTGGGACAGGAAACAGACTCTGGAATGTTTTACAGCACTAATGAAAAGTAACAGGGTCAACGTGACTGTTACTGAATGCAGGAGGAGGATTTATTTTAAGGAATCATGGATCAGTTCTTCCTATTATAAGCGGTATGAAGAATGTATTACTCTCTCTGGACTAACACTAGTTGCTTGTGACAATATTGTCAATTCAAAACAATATGTATGTTTTTATTTTGCCTGTACTTGAAGTATGTGGATGTAACTGAGGGCTGCTTTCTGAGCTGCGTGCTGTGGGAAGTTTCTTTTTTCACAGCACAAGTCACAACAGCCAGATATTAGCTTGATGGACTGGAAGATTATTATAGTTTTATCAAATAAAGACTGAAAAAAAAACAGTAATAAAATGCTGATACTATAGTATGTAATGCTTGGTACAGTAGTTTATTTCCAAACTTTGTCCAGTTATAGTCCAAAAAAAGTATGTTTTTACACATTGTTTTTATCTCGAAAAGAAAAAGTGCCTCTTTTTTTTCCTTTTTTTAAAAACTGTTTTTACCGACAGTTGACAAAACATTTTTAGGAGAAAAGAATCTCACAGGCATTCCAGAGATGTTTTTTGTTGTTGTGGGGTCTTTTCCTGTTTTTAGTTCAAACTCACGTCAACATCAGAGCATTCAAATGTATGTTAGTGTCTGTGTTACATTTATAGGTTGACTTCATTTTTTTCCCTCCTCTGTATTTTTCGAGTACATGGGCGCTTAAACCCTGGGAGAAGAAAAAAACAACAGTTATAACTGCATGAGACAATGTTTTCTGAACAGTGAACATCTCACCTGTGTACAAATAAACATGGGTGCAATGCCCTCCCTCAACAAACACTGGAAATAAATAATCTTTATTAGACTCTTGTGTGTGTTTGGTCTTATTGTTTTATATCCTACAAACATCTGGAGGGAATAAAAGACATTGTGTTCTTAATCTTTGCCAAATTGTACACGTATTTGGAACTTAGCTTATCTGTTCAAGCTTTACTGGAAAGTCAACATTGATTAAGTGCAAACACTAACAAAAATAAGTAAGCCACATGACATTTAAAAAAATTATGGCACACTATACTATGATTTTTTAATGGAAAACTACACTATGGCATCGTTATAACATACTTCATGATCAATTGACACTGTACTAGCATATTACATACAGTACAATGTCTTTTTATGACTATTATATGCGATAACATTTTTATGAAAAATCGTGCATGATATACTAAACTATACTACATTTTTATATTTTTATGGCTTAATTAACTGACTTAATTTTTATGGCATTCTTTTTTAATGATTTTTTAGTGGCATACTAAAAAAAATGACACTTATGATATACTGTACTCTCTACAGTACTATGACTGATTTTTTTATGCTAGAAAATTCGATAACATTTTTGATTATATTTTCATGGCCCTCAGCACTATCACGTTTTTCTGTTTTTGGCATAATGTACTATGACATTTTAATCATCTTTAATGCCATATAATATATACAATAAGATTTTAATGATTTTTTATGGCATCCTATAATATGAGCTTTTTAGGATTTTTCTGGCATGACATGGTATGACATTTTTCTAAATTTTTATAGCATAATATACTATGACATTTTTAAATAATTTGTTATACCAAACTAAACTATGGCATTTTATTTTTTTTAGGTCATAATAAACTATGGTAATTTCATGACATTCCTATGATACACTATGCTATTTATTTCTCATTACTTTTTTATTGGCTATACTATACTTTCATTAATTTTATGACATAGTATATTATGCAATTTTATGATTTTTCATGGCATACTAAATTATGCGCTTACATTTTTGCTATGAATTCTTTTGGCATAATATACTATGACATTTGAATAAATTTTTATGGCATACTATATTATAACTCAATGATTTTTTTAGGGTAAACTTTAATATGACATGTTTTAATATCTTTTATGTCACACTAGCTTTTATGGCATATTTATGACTTTGTTTTATGACATACTATATATTTCTTTTGTGTTTTTTTCAATGGGTTAGGGTTAGGGTTAGACTGACATTTTAATGGCATACTATACTGTTACATTTTTATTGGCATAGGATACTATGACAATGACATGACAATTTTTAAATCGCATAATATACTATGCCTTTTTATGGCATTTAAATGGTATTTGGTACTTTAGCCTTTCAGCCTTTTGGTATGGTACTTTACTGACTCTTTTTAAGAATTTTTTATGCTTGACTTTGTACTGTGCTATGAGTTTATAATTTTTTATGGCACCATGACTTTTTAATGATTTTTATGTACAGTACTATGACCTTTTTATGACGTTTTTAACAGCATACAATACTATGATATGTTTTTATTGCATACTATATAATTACTTTTTTAATGACATACCATATTATGACATTTTTTGTCTTTCTTTTTACACATTGTGTGGCAATTTTTGTGACATCTCATGCTATCACTTTACAGTATAATAATAATTTTTAATGGCATACTATACGGGTTTTTGAAATCTAAGTTTTGATGAGTAATCTCAGAGTTGCTCTAAACACATTAAATCACACATATGGTAACTCTGACACAAACAAATAAATAAATATGTACATTATAAAACATTTAGAATTCATGTTCATTATAATAATGAAGCAGTAAACAAGAGTGTTCTTAAAAATAAAAGCGTGCTGGGAACTACACCAATCAACTTTTAACCCTTCTCACACTGTCTGCATTCTCACAACGTGGGAATGTGCGCATGATGACAATTATGTTAACAAGCTGCCTCGTGCTGTGAGAGTGACGTTACTTGAACGTGAACACACTCTCAGTCTGTGTTTGCACAGAAAGCTCAGATAGTTTCAGCAGCTGCAGCCTCCACCTGACATCTTTAACCCTCGTACACCTGAGGTAAGAAAGCTTCATGTCATGGCTGAATTATGCTCAAATGTAGAATTTACAGGATACATTTTTGTTTTTTAAAAATATGGTAACGTTTTCAAATAACTCATTTTTTCTGCATTATAGAAGAGCTTGTTCTCCACTTGGTTTTATCCTCTGTGTTCCGAAGTTAGCATTTAATTTTAACTACGGCTTTTCCTTTTACATCAAGATTAAATCCATTGAGAAACTATTAAATATAATGTTTGTTATTAATACACAGTAGTTTCTCCTACTGAAAAGACGCCTATTGCTCTGTAGGTGTAGCTGTTACATGAAAACCAGAAGAACAGGTGATGCAACATGTGATGTAAAGGCACAAAAGAAAAGGTGACACTCAGCTGCAGCAATAACAGAGAGAGAAAGATAAAGAGAGTCTTCTGGCATGTTTTTCACCGCTATCTTATTTCACAAAACCATGAACTGCCATTCAACCACTTTACATCTCTATAGGGAACAACAGAAGAAGAAATGTAGCATGCCAACACCCTCCACAGACTGCAGTTAGACTGTAACCAAGAGGGCTGTACGGTTCAGTTACCTCTGGTGTTTAACACTTAACCATGAAATAATTACGACCTGCAGAGAAAGCAAATACACATCCAGGCCTATTCACACACAGCTAGCTACGACCTGACAACATATGAAAAAACTCAGTCATTTGTCTCTGATTGCTTGGTTGAAATCTATATTATTATTGTTATAAAAGTGTTGGAAATATTTTTGCGCTGGACCCTATTTCCCCATGTTTTTATTCTATTTCATTACTGAGTGACAGGGCTGCAGCGTAATCGCTCAGGTCATGTTCACATTGTCAGTTTATGTCCACTAAAAGGACTTGTTTCGCTCTGACAGACTCATATTGTTAGTACAATATGAAAATATGCTGCCTTTGTGACATGCTGCAGTGCTGTTTTTCTGTAGGCCAGTATGGAAGTTAGCATCGCCCTGGTTCCCTTGTCAAAAAGCCAGTGGCATTTTTCACTGGATTTTGTTCAGCAAGATAATCTTCACAAATAAACACCACCTTTATTATTTCTGAAGCCTAAATTCAATCACCAAAATTAAAAGCTAACGTTAGGCTATAAATGAACTTCACCATGGTTGCATGGCTTTCACCTCCCCATCATAACGAGACTGTAAAGCCGTGTTCAGTGTGATGACGTGTTATAGGCACATGTAGTCTTTGGTTAGCAACTGTCTTTTTTAAGACACACAAAAGCTTCATAATAAACAAGTGGAGTATTCACTGATGTTTTGTTGTAGAACAAAACATGAACATCTCTTAAGCTTGAGTTAACCACAGGCATAATTTCAGGCATCTAACCAAAACCCATTAAAAACAGGCTCAATGACTTAAAGACAAGAAAACTGGAAGGGCAGAAATGCTAACTACTTTCTAGGTTTAGGATTCATTCCTGCAACACTCTAAATTACTGACAATTTCAATGGAGTCTGGTGGGTTTGGCGATTGTGATTTCAAGGCTGTTTCTGGTTAAACAAAAAGGATTTTACTCTTTAACTAAAGGGTCTTTCTCAGTCGGGATCCTTTCCATAATGTTGTCAGACACTTAGAATAACACTCTGAGCCTGTCAGTGGCAAAAACAATCACTTTTAGTGGACACCCACTGACGGTGTGAGCATGCTCTGAGTAACTACATTACAACCTGTTTCGCTGCTGCTAGCTGCAGCAGTCTTTCAATTTCAGAAATTGTTGTTTCCATGAGTCACTTAGACACAGAAACAAGGGAAAATAGAGTCCAGGTTGAAAAATACTTAACTTACCATTTAATCCAAAATAACATGCAAATAATACAAATTAGACCATTAAAAAAAGACTCAATCTATCAGCAGATCACAGCAGACTACATTTTTGCATCAACCCATATGTTCCTATACAAAAAAGCAGTTAAATCAAGCTCATCATTAAACCCAACAACTCAAAGTTTACTCAAACCCTACATTACTTTCTAGGTAAAATATTTACTCTACTAACTATGCCCTACTTTATACTGAGCTACATTTATTGAATAACTTGATTTGCTTTTCAGACTGACATTATGATATTAACAATGCTTTATTTACTAAAATTTTAAATGCAGGATTTCCTCTTGTAACAAAGTACTGAAAGACCTGGGTACCTCTTCCACTGCTTGATAATTTCAGCCTCTGTAGCCTTCCTTCCTCTCCTGAAGGAACCATGTCCGCAGTCTACCTCCTCTTCCTGCTGCTCCCTCTGGTGTCAGCACAGACCTATCACTGGGGTCCCTGTCCCACTCCCAAGGTGCAGCCCAACTTCAACCTCCAGCAGGTAAACACACATAGAAACATTCATTCATACACTTAATATGAACTGAACTACACAGAGCTAATGAAACCTGTCTGTTAACAGTATCTGGGCAGGTGGTATGAGATCGAGAAGCTGCCCGCTTCCTTCGAGAGAGGAAAGTGCATAGAGGCCAACTATGCTGTAAGGAGAGACGGAACCATCCGGGTGCTGAACTCTCAGTTCTAGTGAGTACTGAGGGATATTTATTATTGATTTTGGCTTGTGTGATCATTTGTTAAGTGTCAGCAAATCTGTCTGGAAAACAAACCCAGTAGTCTAGTACATCTTTTCCATCTGACTTCAGTTTTTCTCTCTATCTGCTCTGTTAAAGGTACAGTTTGATATTTTGGGAAACACTCTTGTAAAATAGTTGAAAACTGCCATAAATAAAACAAGATTAACTCAAAGTAACACAGTTTTTCTTAAACCAAACCTTGTCACAAGCATTTTATTGATGTCATCGGGGTCAAGGGTCAACAGCCTCCTCATCAGAGAGGATAGGAAACACCCAGACTTTGATGCTCATGTGTCGATTAGATCACCTTAATAACACACAATGGGTACTAATTATGTTATGTAATTAATTATTAGTTATATGGACTCTGAGCAGATGACTGAGGGCCTGATGGTGACACAACTCAGGGTGGAGTATGCTTATTATCAAACAGAGGAAAGACTCTACACACTGTAGACAAAACCCTCTGTATGCTGGGAGATGGTGGACGATAATTCTGTCTGATTGCTGTGATAGCGCGTTATTGGCTGACTTGAATTGTTATTGTCATTTTTTGCTAACCTATGTGCAGCACAGTGTGCAGTGGTTAGCACTGTTGCCTCAGTGGGTTCATACCCACTGGCCGGCTTGGGCCCATATGTGTGGAGTTTGCATGTTCTTCCCTTGTTAGCATGGGTTGTTTCCAGCTTCCTCTCACAGTCAAAAGACACATGATTTAGGCTAATTTTGCCATTATCCTGCCTTGCTGTTCTGTTTAACACTTACGATCATGAAATGGGGGGACAGAGTGGTCTCGCTTTTAAGCCAGCAGTGGAAGTTGTAACAGTGCCAAAGCGGTCTCTGTAGAAACGGTACAGCTTGCAGATTGGGAACAAGGGCGTGACGGATGTGATGTTTTGATGACATGCTATGTATGCAGCCCGCTGCAGGAGATTTAAAAAGCAGCTAGCAGCAGTTAGCAGCTAACTCAAAGAAGAAAGGACTAAAGCCCTGATCATACAGAAAGCATTTTAGCTGCTGGAGGCAACTTTTTGTAATTGTTCTTAATGAAAATGAACCTTTTCACTTCTTGTTTTTTGTGTTGTGACATGCCTCGCGTTACTGTGCTCAATGCGCCTGGTGTTTTTGCCGGAGAACTCTGAACTCCTCAGGTTGAAAAAACTTCAACTCAAAGCGGAAAAACACTCCACGTCATCTCCTTTTTTGTCATCTTTTTACCATTGTCCAATCGGATGATTTAGAGGCAGGACTTCTGTGGTGGTCACGACAACAAGTTTACAGTTAGTAAACAACGGAGGAGAAACTGGTGGTAGCAGTTGCTGGATACCCAGAATTATACGGCCCGATGACAGACAGCAGGTTCTCAAACTGCGTCCGAGTCATCCTAAAATATGTCTGGAAATGGCCATTATCAAGGTGAAGCTCCTGGACCAACTGGTGGTACTCCCTGTGATCCACCCTCTTTATAGTGGCTCATGTACCCACACAGATCTGTTTTAGTCTGGAGGCCTGTCTAGAGTGTACCCAACCTCTCGTTCAATGTCTGCTGGGATCGGCTCCAGCCCCTCCTTGACCCTGAACAGGCGGTTACAAAATTTATTTTTTTTTGCTAATCTTGTTTTTCTAATCTTTTCATTTTCACTAATCCTCACTTGAACATTTAGCGTGCACTTTTGCTGACTTAGTGTATCCCTCATATTAGTTTAATAAAGTCAACTGTTTCTCTGTCTCTCAGTAAAGACAAGGTGAGGGTCGCAGAAGGGACAGCAGTGATTCCCGACATGAGAGAACCTGCCAAACTCGGAGTCAGCTTCTCATATTGTAAGTGCTCTTCTTCATCTTCTCCCTCTTGATATGTTTTGTTTCTGTCATTTTTGCTGTTGTCTTCCTCTTCCTATCATTCTTCTTTCTCATTGTTTTGTCTTGTTTTTTTTATTGTAAAAAAGGAGTCAAGTGTTTAAGATAATTCTAATAATAAAACCATTATATAGTTCTTTAATTTTTGTACAAGAAGACAGAAAATCAAACAGAAATAGAGCTACTTTTTTGCACTTTCCATTCGTCACTGAGCTTACTTGAGCTCATCCTGCTGAAAGAGCTCACATACCTCATGAATGATGATATATCGGCTGACACATGATGCAGCAGCCTTGGTACATTTGTAATTTCAACAACAATGAGCCTGTCTCTCCATCTGTGAAATCTCATCGTCTATTCCAGTCAATCTTATTAGCAGGAGATGTTTATGTTCTTTTTCAGCTAACTTTAGAATGACATCACTACTGCAGTTGTTAAGTTGACAGAGTTCACATAGCAGTTAGCCCAAGGCACCCCTGTGCCTATGTGCAGCCTTACAGAGGTATTAACATGGCTATGGACTCCTGTGTAGTTACATGCTGTTCTCTTTCATCTGTATGCAGATGATACTGTCATTTAGTTATGCTGTATTCTGAAAGGGAATGTTCTGAAACAGTTAAAACCTTAATCCAAAAAAAAAAAAGTAAATGTGACTTTCTCTCCCAGTTACTCCCTACAGCCCTTACTGGATTCTGACCACTGACTACACCAGCCTGTCCGTCGTGTACTCCTGCGTGAACATCCTCTACATTTTCCACGTCGACTACGCCTGGATCCTCGGGCGGTCGCGCTTCCTGCCTTACGAGACCGTGAGTTACGCCAAAGACCTGATGGTGAAGGAAGGGATCGACCTGTATAGGATGAAGCCCACAGATCAGAAGGGCTGCAAGGATAACTAGGGATCATGGAGACTCCTTCAGCACTCAGATGAGGCAGGGCTGAATACTGGATTAACAAATTTTTACTCCTGATTTCCTGTGTTTATCCATCATTATCCGGGTCTGGTGTTGTAACTGTTCCACATAACCCTGACAAAAAAAATAGTTTAATCTGCTGTGTTACAGATATGAAAACATTTAAGATCTTTTAAAATATATTTTTATATTTTAAAATCGCTTTAAAGAGGAAGGAAATGGAATTTGTAAAACCCACAAAACTCCATTATTCAATGAAGTTACTCATTATTTCTTGTATTGTGATATTCTAGTAGGACGTGTTACATTATGAGAAATAATGTTTTACATAGTGTTGCAATAAAACAAGCACATTTGTGGTGATGGCAATAAAACAAGTGGGTGAGTTATGTGTATATTAAAGCTGTATTCATTAAGCAGATCATTTGGTTGTGCTTTATTTTTTGTTTATCTGGTGAGCACTGTACTGATTATAACTGAGCAACAATGTGAAGATAAGAGGTACATATAATTTTCTGACCCAAGTGAGATATCCAAAAGTTCCACAGCTACTGTGGGGAAGAAAAAAGTTACAGTGGAATATCCTTTAAGCAGTTTTTGTCCACTGACAGAGAGTTTCAACATGATTATTGAGTGAGGCACTCAGACAATGACAGCTTATTGATTAAGGGTAGAAATTTACACTGTGTAGATCCCTGCTCTGATGCTTATGCAATGTGTGCTCAGCAATCTATAGTCAAAAAGTCAGCCTTAAAACTGGTAAGTCTGTTTTTTAAATATGCACTAATAAGTTAATTCTCAGTTTAGGGTGCGAATTCATGTGGCATTATTACAGTGGGAGGGCAACATGTGCACCTACGGGGAGAAAAAGAATGTGTGGAAAGATCAACTGGAAATATCAAGGAAGGACTTCGCTGTGTAAATAAAGCATAATCTGGGTATGTGTGTGTGTGTGTGTGTGTGTGTGTGTGTGTGTGTGGTGGAGGTCCACTGGCTCTTCCTCCACTGAGCTCCACACACACCACAGACCACAGTTGACCAGCAGCTGAACAGCAGCATCTCTCTGCACGGCTTCACAAACCATTTACAGGTAATTATCTTAATGTCATTTTACTCTTGAAAAATGTTGGTTAACTATAGGAAAGATTTGTTTTTATTTGGAATTAAGAATCATTATAATGCAGAAACCTGGAGACTGTACTGATAGACTTGACACTGGATTAAAACTAAGAGGCATTCTTCTGTTCTTAGGGCAATATGAAGCTGTTGGTCTGGCTCAGTGTTCTCCTCTGCCTCTTTGCCTGTCATCTCAGTGGTGAGTGTCTTTTTTTAATCTGTATATTATATTCTGAGTTTAATCTCATGAAGGCAAAAGTTTTCATACTGGAACTGAAGTTTAGTTTGTTACAGTAAAAGCATGTAGTGGTGAGGTGATACAGCTGGTATATAAATAATACTGTTTTAGAATCATATATGATCCCAGATGTGATTGCATCATCCATAGGAGAGCATTTGTATTTGCATGGGCAACAAAGAGGACTCTGTCCGAGGATGAATTCTTTGTGCTGTGTGTGTGTGTGAAATGGTCAGCAATAATATTTGAAGAGGGACCAGGTATCCTGGAGTCCTCTGGGAGGAAGCTCAGTTTTCAGTTTTCTGCACTTGAATCCCGTCTTTGTGCACGGGAAGCTTTGGAATGCTGAGGAATGTTAATTTTTTTCTCTAACTCTCTCTCTCTCTCCTGCTCACAGAGGCCAGAGTCATCCCAGAAGGAGGTACAGTATATAAATAACATGTCATCTTTTAGATGCCTTAATATTTTGCAACAAACAAAATGCCTCCAATGTTATAGTGTTCCATCTTTTGCACTTCCAAAAATGAATAAGCTTTGCCTCTGTTCTCTACTGTAATCAACACATTTACACACAGAAAATATGTTTATACTGAAGACATCGACTGAAAAGCACACATAAAAGTCCGAAGTAAATGTATTTGTAAATTCAGTTTAGATTATGTCCATTTTTTAAATTATGGTACAAAATCAAAATAGTTTCCAAAGCTCATTTAAAAGGTTATTATTTTAGTATAATGTCTTAAAAACAAAGAGCACCCTTGCACATTTTCTTGACTGATGGTATAATTTTTCTTAATGAGATATGGCTGGGGAAAAAAAAAAAAAAAAGCCTCAGCCATAGAAGTAAAATATAGTACTGATGTCAGTTTATCGGGATCGTATAAAATTAAATTAAATGTATTCACAATTCACAAATTCACAATTAACAGAAATAATGGAGATGTGAAATGGAACAGTCTGATAAGCATCCAAAGCTTGAGAATAGGGGTCCAGACATGAAGCAAATTGCATTTTAAAATGTGTTCATATACACATTGTCTAGATTTAGGAAAAGAAACTGCATGTAATATATAGTAATATTTATATTGTACAAAACCGAGAACCCTGCAGACTAAACTAACTAATGCTGACTACTAAATTTGTACCAAGACCAGATATGCCATCATTTCCTAAAAACATTTTCAAAGCTTGATCAATTATTGTAAAATTCATCATATATATATACTTCAACAACTGAAGCCTCAGAAGGCCAGAATGCATTGCAGTCACCACCAGTGGTGGAGAAAGTACTCCGATTTAAAGTAAAAAAAGCAAGACCACAATGTAGAAATACTTTGTTATGAGTAAAATCCAAATATTCAAATTTTTACCCTATATATTACCTCATAATTAATGATGCATTAATGTGCTCATCACTTAAGCTGGTGAAGGTTGAATTAATTCTAGTTACTTTTATACACTAATAGGTAGCCTAATCTTTAATAATGCATCCTATTAATGAGTTGATTTGTATTTTTCATTGATAATCTAAATCTGCAGTACCTCAAGTTGTCAGTTAAATGTAGTGGAGCAAAAAAGTACAATATTTGCCTTCAAAATGTAATGGAGTTTAAAGTAAAATAAAATAGACATACTCAAGCACAGGTACCTGAGAATTGTATTTAAGTACAGTACTTTAGTAGGTGTTGTTAAACTGCTCACAACACGTGTACCACTTTTAAATCACCTGTGACTCACGTTTTGGAGTGGAAAAACTCGCTCTTCATCTCTTTTCATAATATGTTCACACCTTTCTCTTCTCTGCACGTTGTGTGAAAGCATCCCGGGAATTTTTCTGTCTCTCTGTGTTACGATTACGCACACCCTTTGGACTTTTGTCTCTGTACATTGTATATATTCTATCTAGACTCAATACTGTGAACCTTTGCACATTTCTGCACAGCATTACTACTTACAATACGGTTTATCTCTTTCATTTTAAAGCAGATATATTGTACTTATTGTGTGTTTTTAAGTGTTTTTTATATGTACTTATATTGTTTACTATTCTATATCTATGTTTTTTTTGACTTGTGTAGTATTTCCTGTTCTTCTAATTTTCTCTTGCATGATTATTGTATTGCATGAAACACCAAGGTAAATTCCTAGTATGTAAAAAAAAATAGACCTACTTGGCAATAAGCTGGATTCTGAATCTGATTTCAATATTTTGACTGATCAGGCAGATAAAACGAATAACTATAGAATTTGATATATACCAGTACACAATGAGAGTGAATTGAATAAGTTGTCTCCTGTCCTTCTCTTACCTGCTGTGTGTCTTCAGTTCCATATGACGAACCACCAGCTGTTCCTTACTGGCCCTACTCCACCTCCGACTTCTGGAACTACATTGAATACTTCAGATCCATTGGCGCCTACAACCACATCAATGAGATGGCCCGGGCCTTCTTCGCCCACCAGCACCTTGGAGACACCCTGGGATATGAGACCAATGCAGGACATGAACACTGAAAGGGGGCTGAAGGGAGCCTGGATTTATTGAGATAGCCAAAGTGAATAAAATGGAAAACATATGAGGACATAAGGGATTTAATATAGAGTAAAAATAAATTAAATGAGGTGAATACTGCATTTTTTTTCCCCTTTCCAAAGTATATCACCGTTTGTAGCATATCCACACATATAGAACACAAATGTAGAGTATGTAGCCCTTTTGTAGGATTGTATAATATCCTTATGTAATGTGCCAAAAATAAATAAAATATTTCCCAGATATGTTAAGATTTTCCTCCTCTTTTTACTTCTGCATCTTCTAAAAATGTATCGTTGTCTTATTTTGTTCCTTCTTTTCTCTTATTTTATATTTTCGTTCATTAACTAGTTACCAATATTAAGCAAGCCTTGTGTTAAGTGAGTAAATGCTAGTGTCTAAAATAAATAAATAAATAAAATAAAATAAAAATGAAATAAAACAGAATAAAATGAAATAACATAAAATAAAATGAAATGAAATAAATAAAAATAAAATAAAAAAAATATACACAAATAAAGTAAGATAGAATAAAATAAAATAAAGCAGTTCAAAATCCACACTTACAGAACAAGTTTCCTTGTAAAGCTATTATTTTCCAATATATTTATTTTGTTGTAAGCCATGCTCTTTTACATATAATGTATTCTATTATCACCTTTATCTTGGTCTTTGGTAATAGAATAGTAATAGTATAGTTTTATCTTTAAAAAGCTGACATTGCATCATTTATTTATGAATTTGTTACCAATTTTCTGCATTCATTCCCAAATAAATCGAACAGAAACCATCTCTGACTTGAGAGAAGAGATTTAATAGACATGAGCAGTTGATAAGTTAATAGGTTAATCTAATTAAAATTAATTTCCTTCACTGTTGCGGAACAAAACTCCTCACACTGCCCTTTACACACTCTGTGCTGTGTTACAGTGAATAGCGGAATTATTGAAGCAAGCTGTTGGAGTCAGCCGAGCACAATTTTAGTGTTGCACGCGTTTGTTTTCTTTCCGTGTGCCGCAGCTAGCATTGCTAGCAACAAACTGAAAACTGCAACACCTTTCAAACCATACGTGCTGTTGAACTGATACTAAAACACAATGAAACCCGCAGTGGACGAGATGTTTCCTGAAGGAGCTGGGCCCTATGTGGATCTGGACGAGGTGGGTTCAAAGATTTGAAGCAAAAATCGCAACATACTAGTCCGAAACACTGGCTAATGCTAACTAACTTAGAGTGGTACTGCTAGCTACATCCTGAAAACAATGCTCCGAGAAACACTCAGTTTGCTGCCTTTTGGTGACAGTTTTGCGAGGTTCTTAAACAGCTTAATATTGTTAAGTTTATATTAATTTGTCCATATCGTAATATATATATACCAGGTGTTGTGTCGGGGACTTTCCCTTTCGGTGTTTCCCCCTCATCTTACCAATGAAACACTGTCTGAAGGGGGTAACGTTAACGTTAGGACACACCTGATTCCTTTGGTGCAATTTATTTTAACACTTTATAGAGCGTAGCGTATACACGATATTGTAAGGGCTACTTTTGCATATTAATCTGATATCTAGCGTTTCTACTCTGTAGAAAAAGTACAGGACAAACTGTTCTTTCAATACACTGCAGTGTTTTTCAGATAAGTATCTCTTAACGAAAGTCACAACCCTTATACAATCTGTGGCCAGGTAATCTCAATCATACAGGTTCATCTGTGTTGAAAGCAGATTAGAGTTATATGCTCTAGATATGCAATCAGTGGTATGTGCCGGTGTTATATCCCTACTGGTTTCCAGTTTAACTGGTTTCCTTACCGAACAGCTGCAGATGTGCTGCGCCTCCGTCAGCAGATTTGACACAAATTCACAAACATACACAACATATTACTGGCGATTTTAAAGTCGCAGCCCACATCTACCACAGCGAATATGCTTCTGTAAGTGAGCACTACATACCAGTGACATTTAAAAAAAGAAAGTAAAGAAAATATGATATACACAAATTTGCGTCAAGCTAGACTCGATTTCACGTCAACAAAAAGACACAATTATAATATAACACAAACCGCATGTCTACCTGTGTGAGCCACTGAGACTCACAGAGATCAAGGCTTTCCTCAGGTATTAGTAAATTACGTCAGCATCCAGGTAACATTTTGATTTGGGCTGACCTGAGACAACTGGTTACCCTCGGCTTGCCTTGAAAATACCCACACGTATTTATCAATTAGGGCTGGGTATCGATTCAGATTTTCCAGATCGATTCGATTCAGTTTTCAAGGACTCAGTTCAATTCGATTCACGATTCGATTTGATTCAATTTATTTCAGTTCAATATCAATTCAGTCAAGTATATTTCAATTATGATACAAAATTTGCTTGGATATTAAGATATTTTCTGAGAACTAACGAAGTATGTTTAACAAGGAACCCTCTGACCTGGTGCATTACTATTAAAAATACTGTTTACATTAAGAATTGACCCCAAAGCAGTACATTAGTCATCATGTATTTTTATTTAACATTACCTGACCAACACATTTTAAATTAAATCTAATCACAAGGCAGACAATTTAAATGAAGTGGCTACAAAAAATGTAAACAAAGGACATCCACAAGCTTGTAAAACTTTAACATAGTTAGTTAACGCATTTGTTATCGGCCCATGTGTTTACTGCTACAGAAAATTAATAAATCTTTGGTTTATTTGCACAACGTCGCCTCTCTGCCTTCTTTTATCACGCTTGCTAATGCTAAGTTAACTTTACCAGCAGATCTGTATGAGGCACAAACTGAGGCTACATTTAGCAGTGTGCTGATGCTTAGTGGTATTTCTTAATCTTTTCTGTGAAACTAATGTGCATTTAATAAACATGCGTACATTATTAGCATTATATTTTTAGGGGAAAATGCGAGTGAGAAAAATGCACCGTAGACTCATGCTTTCAGCTCCCACTATTGTTTGCTGCTCTGTCTTCATTCAGTGTCCAGCTGTTTTGCGAGATCTCTCGCCATGACCACAGGTGCTAAATGCTGATCTCGCGAGATTTTTTTTTTTTGTTTTATATACTTTATTAATCCCCGAGGGGAAATTCAATTTTTCACTCTGTTTATCAGTTACACACAGGTCCGAACACACATCCACAAAATGGACCTATACATGCACTAAGTGGAGAGATGTCAGAGTGGGCTGCCCATGACAGGCGCTCTGAGCGGTTGGGGGGGTTCAGTGCCTTGCTCAGGGGCACCTCAGCAGTGCCCAGGAGGTGAACTGGCATCTCTCCAGCTACCAGTCCATGCTCCATATTTTGGTCCGGACGGGAACTGGAACAGGCGACCCTACGGTTCCCAACCCAAGTCTCTATGGACTGAGCTACTGCCGCCCCATCTGGATTGATAGCACTGCTGCTGCAGTGTGCTACCAGCTGTACAACACGTCCACAGAGGAAAATAAATAGTTATAGTAAAAGATCGATTTTTTAATTAATGAATCGATATTGTGCCATTTAAAGGAAAATCGATTTGAATCGATTAAATCGATTTTTTCAACCCAGCTCTATTATCAATGTTTCTTGTTCTTTTTCCACGAGTCTACAAACATATTCAGTGCCACATTACAGTCTGCACAACACTGCACACTATGACAAAGCCTGTCATGTTTAAAAAGTGACGATCTAACTCGGAAAATGCTCTCAAAATACGCTAAATAATATGTAAATAAAAACCAAGCACTTATAGCCACTGGATCATTACAGCATGACGTCACCTCTCTCGGACCATGGCGACATTTCTTTTAGTGTGCGTCCCATAAATGTGAGTTTGTTCTTAGAGCTCATATGTCTCCATCAGAGCTAGCTGCCAGGTTGTCATAGAGTGTAATACTATTATTATTGTGTCGTGGTAGTTAACGCTTATACAATTCCGTTTGCTTTTTTAAAATTTCGGCCAACCTTTTTTTTTTTTTTCGGTCACGGAAGTCATTTAAAATGCAGCGAAGCATAGGCTAATGCTTAAATTAAAACATAGGCTACTGATGTAACACTCAAATTAGATTTTTAAAAAGTGCAAGTACACTAAAAACTACTAAATTACAGTGACGTGAGTAAATGTAAGTCCTTACTTTTCACCTCTGTAATGATCCAGTGGCTATAAGTGCTTGGTTTTTATTTACATATTATTTAGCGTATTTTGAGAGCATTTTCCGAGTTAGATCGTCACTTTTTAAACATGACAGGCTTTGTCATAGTGTGCAGTGTTGTGTAGACTGTAATGTGGCACTGAATATCTTTGTAGACTCGTGGAAAAAGAACAAGAAACATTGATAAATATGTTTGGGTATTTTCAAGGCAAGCCGAGGGTAACCAGTTGTCTCAGGTCAGCCCAAATCAAAATGTTACCTGGATGCTGACGTAAATTACTAATACCTGAGGAAAGCCTTAATCTCTGTGAGTCTCAGTGGCTCACACAGGTAGACACGCGGTTTGTGTTATATTGTCTTTTTGTTGACGTGAAATCGAGTCCAGCTTGACGCAAATTTGTGTATATCATATTTTCTTTAGTTTCTGTTTTTTAATGTCGCTGGTACGTATTGCTCACTTACAGAAGCATATTCGCTGTGGTAGATGTGGGCTGCGACTTTAAAATCGCCAGTAATATGTTGTGTATATTTGTGAATTTGTGACGAATCTGCTGACGGAGGCGCAGCACATCTGCAGCTGTTGGGTAAGGAAACCAGTTAAATTGGAAACCAGTAGGGATATAACACCGGATCAAGTTAAGGCTGGTCTCATTCAATATTTTCAATGCAGTTCAACAGGCTTTATTGGCTTGATATTTAACGTGTTGTCAAAGCACCAGTACATTTATAAAGCACTGAATAAAATTAACTGATTACACAAATGACAGTAGTCAACAGAGCAAACAGGTGATTAAATTAGTGAGCAAAATAGAAAAATATAAATACACTACATGCATAGACATACATATATACATACATATCTCATATGCCTTATATGATTACCTATAAACACGTTATGTGTTTGTTTGTAAATATTGAATAAATGCAGACTATGAGCTGTAAGGAGATGGCTTTTATGTGTTGTTGTGTGTGTGTGTGCATGTGTGTGGGGGGGAGGGGTGTTAGTGGGTTCAACAGCAAATCGCATTGCTGATTTATTGCATCACGTGCTCTTGATATTGTAACGTGGAACCAGAATAGACTCTGCAGATATAAAGTTTGGTGTAGCCATAGCAATGCC